TGCTTGCAGACACCTCCTGGAAGTGGCAGCAGTCTCCCTGAGCAAAGTATTATCCTCACAAATGTGAGGAGTGTCACACAGGTCCTGCTTGTTACCCCACCAACTGTCTTGTTTACTACATTAACCATTAACATTAATACAGAAGCATATCATATAAAAAGTAGTGTTATAATATCCTTTATATCTTTATAAACATTAATATTCTCTTTTTATTCTTCTTCGGTATATATGCTCCCAAACAATTTTAATAACTGCTTTACTGTTTTAATTTAAATCTTCTATTTTTTTCTGGTTGGCTAAATAACATCTCTTCTGGGACTATAGATGGAAAATAGCCTTCTGGCGAATGCCAGACCATTTTCAGCAATGTTTATTAATGTACACAATATTAAAAAATAAATAAATAAACATCTATTGTATGTGCTTTGACTGTACAGTGGGTCACATAAGTTATACTGTGTATATTAAGGGTTTATTGTTGGTTTCCACTTGGTATGAGCTGAGGGAACAAGTCATAGAAGTCATGAGCTAGTTTCAGTGAAGACAGTTATTGCAGTGCATAAACAGGCTGTCCCTCTCTGTGGTTTCCTTAACTTGTTAAAATCTCTCTCACAATATGTTAAAAAAAAAGAAATGCACAACTCGAAGAACTTCAAGTGGTAGGATTTTCATCTGTTGCCATCTTGCATAACTCTTCTAACCTTCATAAAATCCTTGACGTATATACAGTTTACAGTATATGTATATGTGTATATGTTTAAATGTAGTCTTTAAACTGCAGCATATACCTCACTGATCCTTGCCCTGATAGGCCTACACATATTCATCTCAGGAGTGGGGCTCATTAGCTCTTCAAAATAAATCCCTGAGCTCGGCTTCATTCCCAGCAGATTACAGTCGCTCACCCTTTACAGCTCTCCTCTCTGGCCTCTTTGATCTGCCGCAGGATGCTTTTGGCGTGGAGGAAGGACAGTCGGTCAGTGGTGCTGTGCACCACCACAAATCCATCTGCCCAGTTCACAGGCTCCTCCAGGATACATCTGCTGCTTCCACTCTGACACTGCAAAAGGTGGATGTGGAGATCAAACGCAGTGGCACCTCGTCTATCAACTGATCTGACTACAGAAGCTATGAAGAGTTTTAAACATAGGACACCTCACAGGGTATTTCTTCTCCAGCCTACTGCCAAACAGTAATGAGAACCATAAAACATTTGCCAAAATAAACAAGAAGCATGCCAAAAGAGACAATAAATTAGCTACAGCACAGTATGCAGCAGAGTCACAGAGATCATGTTATATGATAATATGAAGTTTTTGGAGTCAATAAAAGTAAAAAGTTTGGTGGTGAAGAAAACCATGTGTGCTCACTGTGAACATATTCTGCTGTTGTAATAGTCGTAACAAAACCCTTTAAAGGCTAAGGGTGATCTCAGCTACATTGTACTGTTATTATAATAATTATAATAATAATGATACCTTCAAACCAAAGCATAAATTGGTAGCATTTGCTATATTTTATGTGGCGCACAAGACATTAACCACAATTCATCACCCAAAAGGACATTATATATCCCTATGCTATTGCAACATATTATTCTATAAATGGACATGAATTTATGGTATAAATAATCTGCAAGGAAATAAATAAAAAATGTTTAGGCTATAAAAAGTAATATATGCAACGATTCAAATGTTACCCAATAAACATTAATACAAGCAGAGTTCAACACCGTAAATAAAACTGCACAAAGCTTCCTTACCAAGAGGCAATGAGCACAGCATGGTGTCAGTTCAGTCAATCTATGAAACTGTGATTACTCTAATTACTGTGGTGCATGATTGCTCAGAGGGGGCAAACAAGGTAATTAATTTAGGCCAGAAGTGAAACTGTTATAAAATGTTTACCCTTCTGCAAACTGTAATTCCATTCATCCAGCTTGTAAGATAAACACTATGAAAAGGAGTGAAAAGGAGGTTTTGTTGAGTCACCTTAAACTGCTAAAATATAAATAAAGTGTGAGACACAGAACAGAAACATAGTGGAAATCCCATGAGAGCAATATATGATAATGTTGTTCTATGATATAATAACATTACTGGTTTAATGAATGTATTTGTATACAGGCAGGAATCTCAGTAGAACACCAGAGAGAGCATGATAGTAAGAAAGTCATTGTACAAAACCTTCGGCTGCACATATGCACAGAAAAGATGTATTTTGCATATTGTGTATTTAATATATTGACATACTTAATAATATAGCATGTCAATGTGTTTGTAATATATTCCAGAACATAACAAATATAGCCACTTTTCATAAAAATGTTCTATACACTTGATATCTGAGTATAATATAAATATACAGTGTAATATTATTTTATTTAACTGTAAACTCAACTTTTGTTAATTAAAGAAAAAATAAGACAATGCTGAAATGTATTGAAAATAATTATTTTCTTCCACATATTTAATGATATTCAATGTTTTACCTTATATTATTCAATATATAGTCTATCAATCTAAGGTCAATATAGGTTAGGCATGTGTTGAATCTCCACAACAAAAATCTTAATATTCTTTCCTGAAATGTCCAGTAATTTCACTGAAATGTTGTCTAATTTGCTCTCAGCTACATCCTGCAGTTAGATTCACGTTAAAGTCACAAGTCAGTTACAAGTCACTATCATCAGTTTTCATCTATCCTCACAAGTGTGTTGATCAGAAGCTACATAATTCTATCAATATAATATTTAATGCTAATCTGTCATTAGCATCTGTCTTGGTTTAACATAAACTCAAAATGTTGCGTTATATTTATTCTATAATGGTAGTATACAGTTCAGTATATCAGATAAACAGACACATATACAAAGTTGTCACACTTTTCACCCATTTACAGTAGAGTACATCAGGTCAATCTTTACAGTAAAAACAGTGTCAGTGTCTACAGTATGCGCCTGTTTTGGCAGCACCCTCGCTCCCTATAGTGGTGTAAGTGTGAAATGAGCTGAAGTTTTCTTCCTCTTTTTGGTCTTCTGTTTGCTACCTACCACTCTACGGACCGCACAGACGAGCGTTTGGAAGAGCTGCTTCACCACCACACATCCCCCCTTGATAACTGAAAACCTCTAGAGTCTCCTTCTCAGCCAGTGAGAGAAGTTTTCCAAATAGTGCTGGCAAAAAGGTACATCAACACAATGAAGATGATACAGACAAGGTTTTAGTCATAGATAGTGAGAATAACAAGCCATATTTATAAAAGAATTTGTACAATATTTCTGTATTACTGTGCAAAACATAACATATTATACATGCTGTGCAATATGCTTTAAATACTACAAATGTCATTAGGCTGTATAACCAAGATAGTGCCGTATTATTATTGTGAGCCATTAGTAAATTCAACTAAAAGCGTGTCTTATCCACTATCACCACTGCTTAAGCGACTTTTTACACTGTAAATTGTAGAAAATCTAAATTGAGTCTGGTTTTCCTTGTATATAAAAATAATGCCTAAATAACTTATATTACAGGATCAGCCTTTCAAAACAAAAGTGGCACAGCACAATAAATTAATCATACATACATGATGTGATGCTAAATATAAAGGCTCCCCTCGGGACAAAGAGTCCTCTTAGAAAGGCTACTTGAGATGTTAGGATCCACAGAAACTGGTGATACTACAGCCATGTTACAGCTGCAGCATTCAATCGACACACTATCCCCCCCCCCCATCACAGCACAAAGAGACTCTAAACTTTGATTTCACAGACTGCTTCACTGGTCAGCTCTAATTTTTCTCTCAGTATGTTTCTGTCTGCCCTTTTCATTGTTCACTAAAGGTCACAGAAGTGTCTCATCATTATCCTGTAATGTTTTACTCAAAGTCCACTGACTGAAAGGTCATAAACCTTATTCAAGAATAAAACATTGCAAGATGCCCCCTGACCAAGACGGTGTACATATAACACCTTTGACTTATTTCTGTATGTGCTATTTTAATAAAGAAAATCAGCAGTGTATGATTTCATCCTTGTCCCTGTATAAACTATAAGTGTTTTTTATAGCACATTACAATAGTGAACTGGTATCAAACTCAAACTTGGATAGCAGAGGGTCCTGTTATTTCAGCCAACTACAGTCAATACACCACCAGGGATTTGTCTTAAAATCTCTTCTCCAGAAATCAGTTTACCTATTAATGTGTACCCCTCCTTCTATTGTGTTACTAAATCTAAAACAGACTTTCAGATACTGAAATCCAGCAGAAGGAATTTTATTCTTTTATTTCGAACACAAAATCACAATATCGGTTTAAATTAAATGAAAGTTTTTCAAGGAACTATCAAAACCTTTTGTTCGCAATATCACATGTGTGATGTAAGGCAGGAGTCAGCAATGTCTCCTGGGTAAAAAGCCTCAAAGGCAGCAGGTTGACATCAAGTCTGAGCTGAAAGCAGACTCCTTCTCTCATGCTTTCCAGACACTCTGATTCGAACAGCACTTTGCTTTCTTAACTGGATGTTTTTAATTAAATCTAGAGTGGTGCAAAATGGCTATAACGTTTACAACAGCGGTTTCCAAGGTCTTGAAATTCAAAGCCGACAAAAAAAACAAAGAAAGGCAAGTGTAAAAAGATTAAAAATAGAAGTGAACATGCAGCAGTCAAGTGCTGCTGGTGACTTAAATTGCTACAAAATCATATCTAATTTTAGGTTTGCCGTGAGTGAAGTCTTCCAGGAGGTGCTACCCCTCAGGCCGGTTGCTGTCCCATCAAAGATGTGCCAATCATGGCAGTCTGATAGATGATCAGACTGATGGAAATGCCTTGAAGGCCAAACTTAGGGCGAAAATCTCCTCCTCCCTCCTCCAGCTCCTCCAACTCACTGCTATGACATCAGGCTGTAAAGAAAGTACATTAAAACATCAAAACATGGAGCTGCATGTGATTCCTCAGTGTCTTCAGTGGTAATTCCCAAAAATTTCAACAAACGAGGGTTCAAAATAAATAATAAAAAAGATTTTACTTTAAGTGTTCAACAATGTATGACAGTCAGTTGATGTTACACGATCTGTGAGAAGATTACACTCAGTTGTCATCGAAAAAAGTCACAAAGGTTTCAGAAGCGACAAAACTTCAGGTGAATGCTTTGTTCACGATGAATTTAGCTTGTGGTTTCATCAGTGCTGTATGTGGTAAACAAGTCACTGTCACACAGAAACTGTAACTGATCACGTAGCTGTAACTGAACTTTGTACGCACTTATTTTTATTTTTGACATTATGATGCTGGCATTACTTCATTCTGAAGTGAATTAAAATGGATCCTTGCTTCATAGAAATTATATAATTAATTTTATCAGGAAGAGCTGCATGGCCATAGATTCATTAAATGTGCAACTATTTACTATATTTTATATATTTTTGTCATGCGTGAGCTTATGCCTGGTATTCATTCCCTGTGTTGAACAGTTGGCTACAAAATCTTCACAAATCATCTTCTGCAGCTCTTTGCAATAACAAAAGTTCCAGTATGGCGTCTACTTCTTCCCTCACCACTCAGAGATTCAAACCATGTTATATAATCCAACACAAACACACTGGATTTATTATCACTCTACTTCAGAGAGGGATTTTGGCATGGGATATTTCAATCATCATCATTATCATTGAGGTTAATCAGAGAAGACACAATGAAATTAGAGTAGAAGATATTTTCATACGGAGCCAAAACTCATGTTTCAGTCAAACCTGTCATGTCCTTCCAAAATAATGTAAAATTACATCCAAATCTAAAGATTTTAAAACATCTTACGGTGTTTAAATGCATTTAGAGGAAATTATCTGCAGGAAGAAGTCCTATTTTACCATAATATTTTAGCTACTAGAGATGCACCACCTCCCAAAGTAAAAGAAAATGTTAGGAAATATAAATTAATTCTACTTGCACCCTTCTGCAAAAACTATCCAAATCCAGTCCAAAGTCCCAAAGTCAAACTCCAAATGGCTGCAATACAGTAAACATTTACAATACATGGTGGTGCTGTAAATTATGATAAATGATGTAAATGTATTTTGTATTTCTATCTAGTCTCCTGTAACATATAATGATTAATGGCAGATGTAAAATAATAATACTTTTTTTTTTGTTGCATTTTATTGATAGCAATATATGTGTATTTATCATTGACTGTTACAGTAAAGAACAATTAAAGAAAAAAGAACCAGATTGTTCTCCTGAAACAGTGACAGTAACTATACTTTATCAGTCTTCCCTCATACAATAGGAAATATTATTACATCTATTGATTTCAAAGAAAGTAACATTGCGTATACCGTATATTCACTACTCTTGACAATGATCAAGGAGTGCACAGACAATCATTTTGTGCAGTAATTACTCTAAATGTTAAGTAAAATCTATTTTAAGCTGCAAGAAGCAAGTAAAGAATATTTAAAAACAAGAAATGCTCTACAACAGCAGGTATTATAAAATGACAGTGTGCTTCTACAAATAGCAAGGACGTTTTTATAGTCATTAATACGGATTGATATCAATACCTTACACTCTTATTAAGCCTGAGATATGTTAAACATTTCGCTAAAACACTGGTGGAACAGATCAGTTACATAATGTATACACAAACTTAATTTATGGTTGAATGTAAAATAAACATTTTCTTGGATCGTTTGATCTGGATATTAAATCCTCTAACAATCATGAAAATACATCGGCCCTGTTGAGCTCTAACACTTGCTGTAGTGCCCTCAGTCGCTCACATTCTGCACTGCACTCTGGTCAAAAAAGACAAAGTCAATAAGATTTCACTGCTGCTTTTTAAAAAAAAGCTACCGAGACACATAATTATATCAATAATCAAACCTATGATAATTGCCTGCAATCATTTAGTAATTAAAATGACAAATATAGTAAAATAAAGTTCTATACAGTTACACATGTATAAATATGTTTACGAATATGGTAAATACAGTATTTACCAATACCAAAGTTTCAAAGTGCTGTGTATAATCAGAGCTACGTTCAACTAAAAAAATCCACTTAATAAAGATTCAAAGTGAGATTAACAAACATCCAACTACAGCATCCTCTTTGTACAATACAGCATATAACATCAGGTATGGGATTTTAGGAGCAAATCATCAATGACCAAAAATAATATGATACAGTAACTATTACAGCATCATCACAACTATATCTTGTTTTAAGGCTGCAGAAGCAACCCAACAAACTCAATTTGTCTTCCTCCCCCAAAGAGATTTGGTTCCAAATGTGTAACATATAGTACATAACTGAAACTTCTTTTAATCGGTATTTACACTCTCTGCTCCTCTGATCAGTTTAAGTCTGCAGGGATAATAATTGCTCCTGCATTTCAAATATTTGAAGTATTGTTTCAATATGTTCAGCAGCCATCGGATGGCAGCACTGTGATATTATTGCAAACTGCAAATTCGGGCTACTTTCAGATTACAGAATGGAAACACTGTTACAGCCCCACAGGCTGCTATATAAAAGCAGTATAATTACACACAAATACAGCATACTTGTGTCCATGGTTGCACTCCATTCACATCTGGTTAGAAGTGATGTCTCCTCGACTTGAGAGAGTTTCTCCTCTTCCTCTTCCTGTGGCACTGTTCCCTCCTCTCTGGCCAGGGGAAACCACCCTCAGCAGTCCTGTAGGCCTCATCGTACTCATCGCTGTCGGAGTCGGCGTCAGCCGCAGGAAAAACTCTGTCTGGGAAAATCTCTTTCAGCTTGGTGCTGAAAAACACCTCGAGGCTACGGCCTGCTTGAGCCACCTCAGAGTCAGGCTGTGGTCAGAGAGAGAGGGAAAGGGATATTACACTCAGATCAGTGCCAGTGAAGTACTGACTGATTATATTTATCATTTAAACTAGGATTAATTGTGATTATGAGACAAATTGTACATGCAATACACCCACAGGAAATCAGCTTTTAACTTACATAATTGAACTTTGCACAGTTGCGGAACATGAGATAGACATCAGCAACAAACTGGTCTGTTGAGTTATAATGTCGGGTATTCCTCTTGTTGAGCTTGGCCCTGATCACAGACAGGTCCATAGGCCTCTTAATGATCTGGTAGTAATGACGAGCCTGCATGAAGAAGCAGTGACATTTAAGAAGAATCCACGCAGGCACTTAAGTTCACTGTAATTACCTCATAACTCTTTCTGCGTTCAAACTGCATTAAATAAATGTTCCATAGATTGTATTATGTATTATGTGAAAGATAGGACTCCACCTATGTGCAGTGTACTTGCTTGAAAGACAACGCACACACACTCTAGACTCTTAATAGTGTCTTAGATTAACTACAGCTGCAATTTTAACTGCACTGGACTAAGGAGGAGGTAACCTAAGGTAAATATTAAAGGTACCCTGTGGAGTGTTCGACCTTAGCACCACTATCGTGCAATGTTTGCATGAGTGTGTCCCCTTTTGTTGGGGTCTAGAGCACTCTCACAGGAATGCACGCGCAGAGATGCTACACGCATTTCTGCCAATAGTTTAAAGCTATTAAAAGCTAATTGAAAGTTGGTGGTGCAGAAATGCTGCAATGCACCACCAAAGAAGTTCACCTTTGCACATTTTTAATGAGGAAGGAAATGCGTTTAACATGTGTTCGTCAGGTCTCTACACTCATTGTGTGCTGAAAAAAAAAAAACTGAATGTGAAAAAACCTCCACAGGGTACCTTTAAGGCCCCCCCCAAAAAATTTTTTGGCAGCAATCAAATTGTGTTTATGTAGGCTGAGACATGAGGAAAACATGATGCTGCTGTGTTCTTGTAATTATAATTAAAAATAAATGAGATTGTGAAAATGAGTTGGCCTTTACTGTACACTCACAAGTGGACTGACAGGCTCATGGAAAGGAGCACTCAGGATGTTACTCAGGATCAGAAGAGTCAGCCGCTCACATTTCTACAAACAGTCAACCAAACGTGAAAGGAAATTGTTAGAAATGCAGAAAAAGCAACCGCCATCATTATTATTAATGCAGCTAATGAAATGACATACTCTCTGGTCACATGCAGGCAGTCCGTGGGCCGATGTGTGTTCTCCAGATGTTCTCTCGTTCTCACAGTCATACTCAACCTCTGGCTGCACAACGTCTCTGCACAGGCTGCACACCCAGTCGCCTCTAAACAGGAAGGAAGAAACGGCATCAGGTTAATAATAAAAGCAGGGTGATGTAGAAAGTACTGTATAGATTTCAAGTTACATGATAAGAAGCTTACGAGGGGAAGCTTAGCAGGGACGGGATATGGCAAGACAGATGAAAGACTTTAGGACAGCGGTCACAGCACAGCAGGTCCCCTCCAATCAAACACACAGCACAGAAGTCCTCACTCTCCATCTCTGCATTGTCCTGGTCAGGCTGCATTTCCTCTGTGCCTTTTTGAGCGACAGGGTTTGCAATCAGAAGTGGCCTCTGACCGGGACCAATGTGGGACTCCTCTTCCAGGTCAGAGCGAAGCGGTTGTGGGTCATCGGTCATCAGTTCAGATTCGGATTCGACATCGAGCTCAGACTCCACAGAGCCCTGAGAGTCTGGAGGCTGATCGGACACAACGTCAGAATCAGTCTGAAAACTGGGATCATAGTCAGGCTGGACGTCTGACTCCGTTTCAGCATCGCCTGATTCTGCATCAGCGTCCAGCCCTTGGCCGTCCTCTGATCCTGCTCCTGCATCTGATTCTGGGTCTGCCTCATATTCAAGACTTGGCTCTGATTCCCCCCTTTCACCGCAGAGCCCCATTTCTCCTGCAGCCACTGATTTCTCCTCAGTCAGACAGTCAAGTTCAGTCTCAGATGAAAACTCTGCATTTGGGTCAGAATCTGGTGATGCATCTGAGTCTAGCTGAGGGTCTGGATCAGCCCAAGAAACAACTACATCTTCTTCTGAGACTGACCTGGGATCAGAGTCAGAGTCCAGATCCAGTGCAGAGCAACTCTGTGGCATATATTTAGGGTCAGCAGACGGCATCGTGGGTGCTTTATGAGAGCTGATTCTCCCTCGGCTGTCAAACTCACTGGTGGTGGAGTGTGTGGTAGACTGATTACTGTTCTGATGCTCTGCATATGGTGGTGCTGTGAGTGAGCGGGTGGTCCTCGTGGTCTCTGAGCGTGGAGCTATCCCCTATGTTTACAAGACAGAAGAGAAGAGAAGGGAAGAGACGCCTTACACCGTGTCACCAAAACCATCTCCTTTTTTGATACCTCACTAGGTTCCCAAATGTTAAACGTAACACAAGCAGAAATACAAGAAGCCTGAACAGAATAGAGTGAAACAAACATTTTTGAGTAAGCAAGTACTTGACTTGACAGTTTTTAATATTTGCTATGGATACATGTTGGTGTAAATGGAGGCTCGAAACTCAACCGTATACATGACTTATCACTTAAAAGCATATTTAGGTACGGATGAAAATACACTTGTTTACTTCAATTACTGTATTCTGTAATGTTTTTCTGCTGTCAAATCATAAAGCATAGTAGACAGAGTTAATAAGTAACAATCTATTATTATATTGTGTTTATTTATCATATAAAAACAATGACTATAGCCAATAAAAAAGGTGCTGTTTTTATAGCCTTTACAACTTTGCTCTACTTTATGCAGAGATGTGAGACATACTTCAGGCGTTCTCTGCTGCAGAACAGTTTCACTCCTCTCTGTAGCAGGTAAAGGGTCACTCTGCCGTCGTCCAGGTGGGGGGAGTTGAGACACAAGTATTTTGAGACGCTCTAAGCAAATCACTGGAACCCTGGGCATTCCTGGGTCCTTCTGAACATCTTTATTACTATAGAAGCAGACAAAGAATGAATGATGAGAACTATACTTTATTTTCATGATTTGTTCATGGACAGATGTTTGACTATAACACACCTGTTGTGGCTGTTTCTTGGCATCCTGCATTTCTCCTTGGTCTCATAATCATTCTCTTCATTTACATAAGTGAAAGAATGATCTAAAAAAAAGAAAGATGGTGAGCATGTTTCACAAACTATAAACAATAATCGCATAGTAAAGTAGTATTTTCCAGCACCTGGCTCAGTCTTGTAGGACAGTAGAGGAGACCGGTGGCCTCTGGAGGGCACCTTATCAGACGAAGTTTCCTTGACAGCGCAAAGCACCCCATCTGAAGCTCTCCTCTGTCTGGGATCCATACTGGCCAACTGAGGATAAAACAGATGTTATGTAAAACTTGCATTTCCAAGTCACAAACCTCCACATCACAAGAAAAACAGTGTTATTAGTAAATTAATCATGATGCTTTAATTAAGGTTTTAGAGATCTAGAGTTCTTTGTAAAAATACCACACATTCCTTGTCAAAAGCTGCCACTTACTTTATCCACAATGCAACTCAACCGGCAACAGACCAGTCAATAACTCAGGTGTGTTATGCTAGTAGTGGCTAATGTGGCCTTGAGTCGCAAGCCTCGATCAGAGATGAGGAGAGGGCTACAGAGGTTTCCATAGACTTTTTTTAAATTTTCAAACGATTCAGACGCAAAGTGACATCACCTAAAACAATTTATCATGCAGCTCCCTCTGGAGCCACAAAAGGCTTTTTATAACTTTTTTGGCTTAAGTAGTGCTCCACAAGCAAGTAAAAGCGGCACTGTTCCCATTTAACATGGATGAGACAATATCTCCAATTCAAAACAAAAATCTCTGGTTCCAACTAAACCTAAATTGTGCCTGCTTTGCTTTGTCTTATGTGATAGTTATATTAATCTCTTTTGGTCTCAGGCCGTTGGCAAAACCAGCAACCTGAAGAATAATCAAGAAAATAATCTAATCAACAACAGACCAATCAACACCTAGACCTAAATCAGAGTAACATATTCATTTTACAGCGAAACTGTGTATGACAGGAGAAATTAGTTCTGTTATTGCTCTTCCTTTGCAATACCAGAACTCACTTGTGTAAAGAGCACACCACAACGATGATCACCTCTATTATCTGACAGCTTCACTTCACTTCATCCTCCTGTGTGATTATATTCTAATACAGGGTTACCTTATTTGCAGCTCCTGCCTCTAGGCTGTGAGTGCATCCTGTCGGCCTTTCAGAGTAAGGGCTGGTGGATGGGGCTGCCAGTTCTGCGGGGATGCTCTGGGAGCGTCTCTTCCTCCTCGTGCACACTAAACTCGGGTTGAGCCTGCTGCTCTGCACATCAGATGCACACATGAGGGCTGTCACCGACACCTCCAGGGATGTGGATCTCTGTCAGAAAACACAAACGTACAAAACTGAGCAGGGCTTCAAGCTGCATTGCATGCACAGACGCCCTTGTTCATGCCATTAACAACAGAAAGGAGAGAAAGGCAGTGGGATGTGTGCAACAAAAACAACCTTGAGTGTCACACAAGCACACACACATATAAACACACTCACTAAATGAACAAAAACATAATTCAGAGCCTATTCTGGGACTAATTCAAAACAACTCAATCCTTACAAACATGGAAAATGTCCCACACAGCTGCATATATTACTGTTATCATACAAGCAATGAAAGGTTTGGTTACAACCCCAATTATCATATGTAAATTCACAATCAGGGGTGCAGTGTGGCACCTTTGATTAAACCACAACCGTAAATCACTTTTACCACTCTCTTTCTCTCTCACACTTTCTTGTATCACAAATTGACAAATGCAAGTGTCCCGAAAAGCTCCTTTAAACTTCTCAGCTGTGTCTTCAGCTAATGTAAGCAGGAGGGCTGACAAATCATTTAACAGCAGGTTTTTTTTAACACATCCCCCTATACTCTTTTTTTTTCTTTTCTAGTGTACCATCATAAATATTCAGGCCAGGCTGCCACCAAGCATGTGCTCCTAAGTATCATGCGATTAAAACACTTACCTGATCCATGCCCCTTGGGAGAGGTACGCAGGATTCAGACTGTGGAGGAAAATAGACTATAATCCTTCTCTCTGGAACGATGGGGGTGTGTAGGAATTTATCTCAGAGTGCAAACCAGAACTGAAATCAAACTGGCAGCTCCCTCTATTCCCTTAGTGACTCATTAATGACAGGTTAAGTACATAAATGACTGCGCCCAAGTGGTTTTATGTTGTTTTCAGATGCTGTGGCTTGAAAAATGCAAATATAATACATCTACAATATATCTTTGTGTTTGTGCTGTAAGGGTGCACCCTGGGAAATTTTTCGAGAGGTTATTATGTGGCTGCTCAAATCTCTGGCATCAAGTGTGATTATGATGAACAGCGTTCTCCTGGTTTTGGGATGCATTGCTATGAACAGCTCAGCTTTAATTGTCAGAGCAGCTCTTTGTTTTCCCATCATCCTTTCTTCATAAAAGTAGGAGCACATTTCTGTTGCACCATCTGTTTTCAGGCTAGCTGTCAACTGTGGGAAGTGATCATTCTGGCATTAAAATAAAAGTGCTCCTTTAGTGTTTGTTGTGTTAATTAAAACTGAGTCCTGCCTCGAATCCAACACCCCCTTAAACTTCAACATTTCAGAAATAAGTTACCATATGTAAAACATTTTCTTACTGGCTTTTACTTACCATAACATTTTTGAATCTGGCTTTGTTGCCTTTGTTTTTTGTTCTTGTGTTTGTCTGAGCAAATGTTTGAACACCTGTGTTTTAGAGGAAATAGGCCTAACTCTGACCAATAGATTGTGGTTTTTGAGATGGGTGTATAAACAGCGTTGTGTGGTTCACCATCTCATGAGTTATGAGTTGGGTTTGTTTGAGGACATAGAAACGTTGCAGAACCACGTGTGAAAAGAAAAAAGAGAAAATTGAGGTGCACAAAATCCCACCGCATGCCTTGCTTTGATCTCACAGTGGCTGTAAACAAATACAAATTTTTTTAATATACATATACATATTTTTTCAAATAATGATATTCGCATCAATGTTGCTTTTACTACAAAGTTATCCCTGATTTATTTTTACAAAATATGTTTTGTATTATCATATGTAATACATCCTTCTGTCTTTCTGCATCAAGCGTAACGTGTGAAATTTAAGATGGATTTGCTCATACAGTTGATGATAAAGAGGCTCAAAATTAGGCTGAACTTGTGCATAAGTGCACCTAAATTGATACTTGAAGATTGAAGAAGCGTATGAAGAAACTCCCATAGTTATAACCGCTAATTGCTTATGCACAATGCTAATGCTTAGTTACTAAAGCTTATTTTTAATTTGTGCATGTGACTCAAATGAAACCTACAGAACAGCTACTGAGAGGATCTTGTGGTGAGATGAACTGCCAACTGCTGTTTACAAAGTCAAGAATGAACTTTCAATATACTTTTGTTTGTGTTTCTGGTTTTAGTTATTGATTATAATGACTGATTTACCAGCAGAGTTTACTGTTGTTTCAGTGCACATCTTTGCTAAAACTTTTTAACCATCAAATTAGAGGGACCCTTGTTTTTTTTTAATGCTCTCACCCTGCCATCTCTGTGGTCTCTGAGCACCAGTGCAGGTCTGTTCCTCTGCTGCTCTTTTCTCAGCTCTGCTGCAGGAGGAATATGGAGTTGCTGATGCTGCTGTTGAACGGGACTCTGCTCTCTCCTGCCCCGCTGCAGCTCTTCATCCAGCAGCTCTCTGCTTTCAACACCCGCCGTTTGTCCACGAGCCTCCTCCACTCTGCGTCTCTCCTCCCAGTTCTCTTCAGTCATCACATCTCTGTCCACAGATATGTGGCTGAGATCCTGCTGCAGAGCTGTGCTGGTTGACAGCTTCCCCTGACACTGGCCTGGCCTGCTACGGTCTGCACTTGCCTGAGCCTGGCCGTCTGGAAGAACGTCTCTCTGGTGTTGGTGATAGGGATACGATTTTGTTTGAGTGTGAGAGGCAGTTGCTTGTGTCTGGGATGTAGATCCTCGGCTGCAGTTGAGCTGGATGGTTGGGATAGGTGATGAAGCGGGAGGACACTGCGAAGAGCTGTCAGCGTCCCAGCACCTCTGGAGCTGCTGGCCCTGGTGCAAGGAGGCAGAGATAAGGGCAGGCTGAACACAGCTGGAGTTATACAGTGTGGCTTCCAGCTGGCTTTTGTCCAGACTGGACAGATCTGGCTGAGAGGGAATGCCGTGCAGGCAACACATCTGGGGCTCACAGCAGGCCTGGTACCCACAACCAGGATCTCGTCCTCTGTGACAGACAGGCGGCAGAGCCAAGCAGGTGATGGGCTGAGGCCTCAGAATACTGGAGCAGGCCAGGCCCTGAGGATAAGTGCAGTTCCCCCCTTCAACGGTCAGCTGGCCTGCAGAGCAACAAGAGTCACATTAAGAGCTCTATGTCATTAATAATACATTCTATGTACATAGTAGCAGGGGTTAAATTGGTCTGGGGCTGTCTGAGACTCATAGACACAAAGACTAACGCTCTTCTATGTAATCAGACAAACACCCACCCACCACTCTTTGGGTTCGCTTGAGCAGCCCATTACAGAATACAAAAACAAGAGTGAGAGAGATGTGTCGTCAGCCCACTTTGATCATGCACCAGCTCAGACCCTCCTCCCCATTAGGCTCCATTAGACAAATAGGGAGTAACCGTGGGCTATCTGTGGATCAGACTTTAGCACACACATGTACCCATGGCAACCCTAGTAGTATATTACAAACAAATTCACTAAACCCATTTAAAAAACCTAGCGAATTCCCTAAAATTATTCCAATGTATTAACATTTTTATTGAGGGCTTTTTTCCAGTTTAATTTTACCTAAAGAGGAAATCTGCTTCGTCCAGTAACTAGCATCCCAGTTGAATTTGATCTTGACAGGACTCCAAGAGTCTGAGTGGAGTGACGAATCAAGCAGTTGCTGCATCTGAAGTGAAATCTGAAAGAAGAATATATATTCTGTAAAGGACAACACAACGCATTTTGATTTCCATTATGAAAGTACAACAAGTAAAGCAGAGGTGCGCAGAAAAGACACCACCTAATGCTGAAAGGACTATAAGCTGCTGGAAATCAAATGCCAATAACACAAATTTTCTTTCTGCTTTCTGTAATTTGTAGTTTCTGTAACTATTAACTGTAACAGGACATTGTTCAACAATTTTCACATGCAGTAGTACTTCCTGTGACTAATAAACTTATATATATATATATATATATATATATACATACACATATATCTACAGTACAAGTATAATCAGTGGAGTTCCCCTTTCGAAGTTTCGAAATAAAAAAATCATACTTGTTGTTCTGCTTTCTCACAGAAATTAATTACTTCCTCCTCCTCATAGGACTGTGTATGTTACAATAAGTCAGTGGACATCTGTTGACCATCGTGTCAGCGTACCAGAGCCCTGCTGAAGAGCACCGGGCCTCTGCAGTGGTGGGTCGTAGCCCAGGTGATGAACTTCTGAACATGGTCCAGCTGGCCACATATCTCTATTGCCCCCTGCAGCTGGTCCTCCAGACGTTGCTGGAAGTCTTCTGAGATTTTCTGCAAAGAAAACCATAAAAAATGCATCCAGTTACATGTAATTACTGGTACACAGAGAGTCATTGCTGGCCTGTGGGCTATTTTTTTGACAGATGTAGTTCCTGAGGAGTTGGCTTAAGCAGCTTTGACAGATTATTATGGGTTCTCGTTTGCTTGCTTTCAGGACTGATTACATCATGGCAGTTACCGATTCCTTGCATGTAGATTCACGGCTGGCTGAACGATAAGAAGGAAAGAAAAAGAGAGAAAGTAATTACCTCCAGTTGCTCTATTAATAGGTTGGCTCGTTTGTTAAGCTCGTTCATCATAATCATCTTTGCCATTTTAATCTGGTTCTCTGCCTTCCTGTGTGCAATCTTTACTCCATGCAGTCTACAAAGACAGAAAAGAGAAAATAAATGCCTCAGTCCTAGCAGAAAAATCCCAAATGCAGAAGAAGAAAGCAGGCATTAATTTATGCATTAGCTTGCTATATTTCATGCTGTTCAATTATTGACCATTTGTGGCAGAAGTTGCTCAGACTTGCTCATGCTATGATTATGACTAACCAACCTGTCTTCTATCTGTTTAGCATTGTTCTCCACTGCAGACCTCCTCTCTTCCACCTGCATCATCAGGCTCTCAAACAGCCACTGCTGATCCTGTAGGGCCTTCCCAATCTGCACCACCCTGAACAGATGAGAGATCACAGCATTCACCAGACAGAAAGTTCACTAATTTATTCTTTGGGCATGAAAAACACCAGAATTAAATTTGTTTCCCCTGGGGGACAAGACATTATGCAGGTGACCTTAGAGGCAGCTACTGTACCAAAACATCACAGAAAACAAAAGCGTATGAATACTTAATAGGTATTAGGCGGGCCAAGGATAGTATATGCAGATACAGATGATAAAAGTGACAAGGCAGTTAAAGCGAGTTGTTGCTCAGAGGAAGTTTTTAACCTGCGGTTAGCCCTTCTCAGCAGTGCCCTTGTGCTGTGCATCTGAGAACTGACCTGTGGTTTTTGTGGGAGGACAGGTGACAGCTGCTACAGCACAGAAGGTCACATGACTCACAAAACAGCTCCAAGGGCTCCTGTCTGTGAGAGTGGCACATGAGGAGGGAGCAAGGATACGACCCCGGGCCTAAGAGACAGACGGAGGAAGGAGGGAAGCGAGAGAGGAGAGAGAGGGGAGAGAGCATGAAACATTAGCAACACTCAACAAGCAATTCACACCAACATCTAGAGGAGGGCCATCAGTGTGTGCGCGGAGTCTAGAAAGAATTTGGAGAGAACAAACACTAACAATAACTAACAGGGAGTTTAAATAATAATCTAATAATCAGGAAAGCAACTATTTAAAGTTTATTAGAGGAACTAAATTACATTTGATTAAAGTTGAATAAAAAATTGATTATTGAGACAATCGGTTCGGATCTCAAACTGTGTTTAAGCTTGAAAGGCATGCAACATCTCACACTGCCCTACGTGTCTTGTTGATGAGTCATTCATATTTATCACTTCTATCACAGTGTTAAACTGTTGTTGTTAACACTGGATCTAATTCTGAGAGCAAACAAAAAGTTGAATTGTGTTTTCTTCTGCTGACTGGTGGTTTGAATGTATTGGACTATAAGAAATAGCCCAGCACACAACCCCCGAAAGTCATACGGACTAAACATACCCAATATAAAATATTAATTAGTGAGCTTTAGAGGTGTGAGTAGGTAGATATTGTTGCTGTTGGACAGAGCTAGGCTACCTGTGTCCCCCTGTTTCCAGTCTTTATGCTAAGCTAAGCTAATTGGCTGCTAGCACTTTTACTGTACAGATGTGAGAGTGATATCAATTTTCTTATCTAGCACTCAGCTATAACAGGAATAAGCAAATTTTTTAAGAAGGTGCAGGTATTCACCCTACAGTTTGAGTGTGGTTTGTCTAAATTGAATTTAATCAGACATTTGCAATGAATTGGGTATAAAGTTTTCCCGGATTTATTGCATTGTTGGACTGCCCAACCTTTCTGAAGATGAAAAGGTAAAAGTTGTATATTCTGCCGCATACTGTACCAGGATTATATCTTCTTGTTGACAATGACCACAATAAATCAATAAACTTGTAATATGTTTATATTCATTAAATTTTTCATGACATAGCCAGTCTGTGAAACTTGTGATTTTCATTGCAGTGAGTGGTTATTAAAGACGTGTACATAATACAATTGTGGGAAATAGGTTGCAACCTGAGGTTGCAATGGGACTATGTCAAAGTGTGTGTGTGTGTGTGTGAGAGTGACAAAGATGTAAGTGAACACTATTTCAATGCTCTCCAAACAGCCTTTGATGCACCAACAGCCACAAACACACATACCAATGCACACTCAAAAATCTCTCTCACACATTTCTAAATAGGTCACTGTAGAAACTGTTGGCCCACAGAACGTCTATCTAACAATAGCTGGATAAGGCTAATGAACGCAGCCCTACTGCTCTCTGCTGGCCAGCTCACCTCAGCCAACCCCCCTCCTGCCTGCACATCTTTACAGATCTCTGTGGTAGAGAGCTGAGCATCACCCCATATGCATCAACCCGATCTGACTGACCACATCCTGTCTGTCAGCGCAGTCACACAGTTTTTCTCACAAGTACACAAACCAAACACACAATACACATCACAATAAAGGTTTAGGACGCACTCATTATGATTTGACAACTCGTGCAATGCAGACCTGCAAACGCAGCTGGGAACAAAGCTGCCAGGCATACTTGAGGGTCTTTAAATAGCAACACACTAATATTAGCCAAAATGAAATCATCCGAGCACTTTAGAATCTGGGCCATGTGTTAAAGAGAGGTGTAATAAAACACAGGGATCTCCAGGAACTATGATCAACCATCGCCACTGGCATGCATTATTCATTGCAATGGTTCCTACTGAGACGTGATTAACAAACAGAGCACAAGAGGCAAAACAAAGAAGAGGCAGAGACTGTGTAGCCACACTAATAATCTGTCATACTGCCCTGGAAAATGGAAGTCTTGAAACATGAAAAATATCTTGCCTTGTCCAGTTGGAGGCAGGGAGGTGGAGCCTCTCTGGTGCAGGTCAGGACGCTGGGTGGCACTGGGCCTCTGTTGTTGGTGCAGATCTATGTATTGGGAATTGGTAGGGGCTCGCTGATGCTGATGCACATCTGTGCACTGGTAACACAACCACTTGTTGCAGAGTGTACACAGGCTCTGTGCAAGTGTGGACTCTGAACACTCTGAGCAGATCTGAAAGAGGCACACAAAGAAAGCCTTCCTTGTGTTTAAAATATACATTCAACACACTTCCTCACACATGCCCAGGCCAGTGTGATAAAGAGACGAGGTGGCATATGTAAGAGACCTTTGTGTTGCTGCTTAACTTTGGGCTAAATCACACTTTCAAGAGTTGCTATCTGTTCTCTTGCTTGCATGTCTGAGATACTTTCAGAAGAATATGAGTGAAACTAAACACTGGCAAAATCATTTAAACTCTGGTTTAATTTTAAGCATTTAAACATTATGATGTATGTAAACATTACATGAAAGACATGACATTTGTTAAAATAAGGCATGTTTTTCAGAAAACATGATAAAAGTTGCTTGTATTGACATCTGATTTGTTTCAGATGTGAGCAAATAAAGAAAAGCAAATAAAGAGCATGAAAACTGTCAACAGAAATCTGATGATGCACAGTACAGCTTTTTTTCACCTAAGTAATACTTTATTAATCCCTGTAGGGAAATTCATCTTCTGCAGTTGACTCTTCCTAACAGTTTAGAAGCAGTAATCAGTGCCTCAGTACTCTCTCTGTCCCTTGTCCAAAAGCCAATGGAAGGGGTATATATCTGTAATATATATATATATATATATATATATATATTTTAGGGTAAGAAGAGAACAACATGAACATTGGAAGCGTGCCAAGTCTACACAGAAAGGCCCACAATGCCCTAAAGGGATTTAATCACAGGATCAACAGTGTAAACTTCTGCACAAAAAGAAACAACCTCCTATCTCTAGCTGTGTAAAAGAACTTGTTCAAATCAAGATAGGAAATAATGCAGAAACAAACAGCTTACCTTCTCCATTTCAGTGCTGTAAGAGTGGAGCTGTTGCCTTCTCAGCAGGAGGGAGAGGAGAGGAGAGGAGAGCGAGCAGCCTGACGCCTCAGCAGCAGAAACACTGAGGCTTCTACCTGAGGCAGGAAGCAGTGCGCACCAAGAGGTGGCCCCAGAGGAGACGGCTTACATGACAGCCTCACTGTGCTCTCTCCTCCCCCAGTTCATCCATGTGTAGGACCCAAGCTTCACTGCAGCGGAGGAGAGGAGTGTCACATTCAAATTCATCCCCTGCTCGCTAGTGCAGCCACCAAAAAAGAGAGAAAATCTAATCCTTTTTCTTAAATAAGCCTGTGCATAATAATTGGGAATTAGGGAGATAAGATAATTATTTTTTTTGTAGGGCAAAATATCCCCGGAAGCGCTCTCCAAAATGGAGGAAGGAAGACCAAGTGACCTACAATTAAGGAGGGAAGAAATTGTACTGTAAGCAACTTTTTAGCTCTTTGGAGCAGGCAGCATGAGGCAGGATTAGGTGATGTTGTCAGGTTGTGTTGGGCTATGTCGGGCTGGGCTAGGGTGGGCCGGTTGTGGCCTTCTTCCCTTTGTCAGCACAAGGAGGGGACAGTTCCCAGAGGAGCTATACGCTAACGTAGCACACCAAAACCGGGTCAGGCTCTGAAAAGCTCCAGATGGGACTAGGATATACTCCTGCAATTCCCTCTAACTCTGTGAAATCAATTAAGATTTTAACTCAGCTTGTCAAAGAAAATGAACTGCACACGCTGTAAGAGCAAAGGAAATTCAGACATAGAAGGGACAATTCTCTGACAGTATATCTGCAAAAGACACAGTTACACGACTATATGAAAGTTGAAAAAGGGGAACTGGGGAACAGGGTGTTGTTGAAAGCAGTCTAAACTTAAAACAAACACTCATTATCAAATATAGCCCAGCATCAAACCTCTGTCACATCTTGAGCTGTGAACAAGTCTGCCTAACAACAACCCCTGCAGCCTGACCTACAAATCTGACAACTTTCTCATCCTTGGGTGCTTCGGTGGGGAGCTCAGAGCAATCCCATTCCCCATTGTGCGCCACAAAGACCCAATTTGAAACACAATTAGTCAGTCGTAGTACACCCTGCCTCTCGTTCACTTGGCTCTGTAGCATTTTCAAACTGTGCGCTTGCTTTCACGGCACCTTCACAGCATTTATCTTTCAAACTGAAACCTCCCGCCAGCTTTCCTGCCCTGCTAAGTGAAGCTGGCACTAGATACGCATGCCATCTCTAGAGATGTCACTATAATAGAAACCTGTGCAGTGATCTCTCCCTTGAAAGCAACCCCCTATGTAACATCTATTAACACTGAAGTGATGAGATCACAGAGAAAGCAGGATTATCTTCAACTACTCTTAAGTTATTATGCCATTTTACTATTTCTGTCCTCATCTAACTCACTCTCTATCCTGAAAAGAAATCTATCAGCAGGAGAGAAACATCTCCACATGCCTTTTGTTTATACAATGCAAATGAATCCTTAAATAACGACAACTGCATATAAAAAACTAACAAGGCAACTTAAATCATTGGAGAACAACCCCCTGTAGGAGTTGTCCTTGCTTAAAGGGCCAGCTTTCATTGCTGCACCTTCACACAGAAACAAGACTGTTAAGAGATATCTGCCACTTTGTGTTTATCTTTTCATCATGGGGTGCTTGAACTGCCAGAGCTGAAGGGATCTCACCACGCACCTCCTGTCAAACAGTTAAAGATGCTCCACAGCAGTTTTACTTTCTGTTTGTTGTGACATGTCTCATTATTTACTTTAAAGTGACATGAATATGTCTTTGGCCACTAGGGGGTAGAAGAAGTTCAAAAAAGCTGTCAGGCCTACAGCTCTGACATATTATTTAAAATAATATGTAAATAATTACTGTTAAATAAGATCCATAAAGCTGTGGAGTTGGGTAATATTTCTCTGCTGGTCCGTGACTGTGGGAGATCCCTTTACATGTAGTCATTTAATACAATACTAATACAAATATTATACTGTTGATTAATGCAGCTTAAGGTTAAATATTGCATTTCATTTACAGCAGTGCATGCTAAATTACAATCTTAGTTTATTTAAAATCGTATCTGCAAAATCTAAAATATTTTATTGCAATTTGTGCGCCAGATTGCAACATGCAGTCTTCAACAAAACAACATGGTTACTGAGGACATTGATTGTTTTAAACAACCTGAAGACGAGAACTTTCTCTAATTATGGTGGGATTTAAAGGCTGATTCTGTCTTAAAGTATTACTTTGCATGAAATCTAAATTTAAGGAATTTAGTATTTCACCTAAAGAAAAGACTTTGAAACAGCATTTCAAGGTAGATTGACAGAATATGTAACTTCAATGTGCATGTATGTGTATGTGTAATGTAAAGTCAGGCTTTTTGTAGCAGCAACTCGAACGTTTCATCAGTGGGTGGGGTGGCACTTCTTAAATCCTTGTTATGGCCCTGGTGCAGCCACAATTTATGTGAATATGTAAGTATAACAAGTGAGTTCTATTTATAACATAAAAACAATTACTGATTTAGATAAGGAAAAACATCAATCACAAACATCAACACAATCATAAATAACCCCGTTTCTACATTTTGTACTTTCCTCTTGTAGTGAAGTTACACAGGCGCTTTAAGGTCCCAATAAACATTAAAAACACAGCCAACTAAGGTTTTATTGCAAATACCAAGACATGGTGTTAATCTATCTGTGGCTTGGTGTTTAGCATACACTAGATATATCACTCTAAGACAATAAATCCCTGATTGAATGTTACATTGAAGTCATGTGGAAACTGCCATTAAGTACGTATATACCACTATAGTTCTGCTCACTGTCTACAGCTGTGGGAATTTGGGATTTGCAGTGATTTTCCTTATGGCGTGTTACACGTTTGGCTACCTGTTCCATCTCTTCATGAACGTATCAGCCTGACAGCACTTTATTAACGCGTCCTCGCTTAATAACAACAAGCACGTCAGTCAAACTGCAGAGGACCTGCCCCCGCATCCTCAGCCTGCTGCCTCTGCATCAGCAGCCTCACCTCCAGCGCATCACTGAGCGTGTTATTATTTTTTAGAAAGTGCGCATGAGATTACGCCCCAATCATGGCATCGTGGTGCAATCCACAACACAACAAGAGCCCGCACACATACAAAGTCAGCACACGGACAGTTCGGTGCACGGCACATCCAGAAACTGCGTCTGTGTACACAAATTAATTCCGCTCGTTAAGTGCGCAGCTCATGCAAAGCATCCTGTCAGGTAAACATGAGCGTGTGTTGAGGGTGTCAGAGTGCTTCTTTTCAGCCCAGTGGAAACGAGACTGTCTGCCGAGCAGCTCAACTTCTGTCCGGACTGTCAATCATGTCAGGTAAAAGCCAGAGAGTGTGGCTTTTTTTTTTTTTTTTTTTTTTTACCTTGACCCGTGCGTCTCCGAGTGTCGGTCCCCCCCATCGGATGTCGCTCTTTAGACCGGCCAAAATTTTTGGAGATTCCAAGTCTCGCAGTTAATCGTGAGATTTTATTTTCGTTCTCATGCAATACTTCTGACGTTTCTCAAAGCTGTAGTGTGATGAAAGTTTAAAATAATGGCAGGATGGTAACATCACCGCTGCCCCGGGGTGGAGGGAGTATCCAAATCCTTAATGTGAGTAACAATAACGACACCACCATGTGAAAATATCCTAAAAATATATATAGTAGAGTAATCATGCACAAATATTACCTATACTAATACTTTTATACTATTATATTACTATTATAATAGTACTTGAGTCATCAGAATAATGCACTGACATTTAAATGTAGCTATAAGATGAATATAATATATATACTGTTTGGTAAAGTTAGTATTTAAAGTAAAGTAGCCTCCCTCAAATTGTACTCGGGTACAATACCTGGGTAAATGTCACTTGTTAATGACACAGTTTATATAGTAATCATTCACACTCATATTTCAATAGTGCCTTACATTATGAAAAACAAAAACGCCTTTGAATTTAAGAGTGACATTAAATCACAGGAAATTTAAAACTGTTCAAAGTCAGTCACACAGTGGGGGAAGTATATTAATTAAGTTATAAAATACCTCCTCTTAGGCATATTAAAGCCGTAGCAGTAAAACACACTCAAGTAACACTCACCTTTAGGTGTTAGTCCTCTTCATTGTGTTAAATTATTAATGCAAAAATCACTACCAAATGCACTTTAATTTAAATCCCTAATTTAGAAAGCAACAACTCTCAGATTAATGTAGTTTAGTAAAAAGCACCAAATCTGGTTATAAAATATACAAAATGTAAATTAAGTATTACTACATTCAAATGTGACACGACTAATTGTTTAATAAACCTTCCTACCCTGTAAGGTCAGAAAAGGGATGTGAAGTTGGTGTTCAGCTTAATCCTAAACAGAGAAACACATTTCTTCCGCATCAAATGTCACCTATAATTGCTATAAAGGACACCAGCAGAGGAAAAGTAATATGGCGGCTGGAATCAACAGTGAGCCTCTCAGTTAGGAGAGCTAATAACAGCATGGCAGTGACAGCCACCAGAGTGATGTGTACAGACGTAATAAGGTTACCAGCAGCATGTGGTAGCTGGTGCTAGACTAACTGTGCCTTTTGGGATCTTACCAGCTTCTCCTAATGCACAGCTTTGGGGGGGAAGCTGTCATTGAGTTGTCAGATGGAAAAAGAGGTGATTTTTATGTCCTCTGGCAATCTGTGAATTACATATTTATGTTTCCAAAAGTGATATGTCTGTATGCTTGTGGAGTATATGGGTATTGTTGTTATTTATATGGTCGATACGACAAGACAGTTGTCACATTCGGTTTCATTTTGCAGTCTAGGTGTAAGAAAAATAAGAGCGAATGTATGACGGCAGATGAGTCGAAATCATAGGTTGACCCCCGAACAAGGTGTGTATAAACTCAACACTGCACACTCAGGCATTTGAAGCATTTTAACTACCATTTTTTAATAAAAGATAGCAAAAGACTCTGAAGAGTTACACTCATTTTCTTCATTGTCTTGATGCATGTACAGTTTTCGAATAGGTTTTACACTCCTTAAACAGAGAAATACTGTCGTGAAAATAATGCAGAATGAGAACATATGAACTGTACATCTATGCCCATGTCAAGTCACATACACTCACACACTCTGATAACACTCTTTACAAGCACACCTGGACATCAGTGGTTACTCTACGGCTCACTCGCTGTGTACCGTCCTGCTATCACTATCTCATAAGGTACTATAAACATACACTGAAGAGTATCACAGCCAGCTTACAGTGAAATAATATGTACATGTTTACATTAAAAAAAAGTTGACAAAAGTGAGAATCATTGTAATGCAGAGACTTGAGACATCAGGTCTTCAGGTTCTTGTATGACTGGATGATTTCCCCTCAGTTCTTTTTGTGGAGAAACTTCATTTTACTTCCTGAAAACAGTTAAAGTAAATCCATTAAATCCATGTGAAATGCACATCTGTTGATATCCATTTCATCTCACAGAATGTAGGTTGCAGAAGTGTTTTGCTTTGGTTTGCACATTAGTGAGAACAGGCTGTGATTGACAGCAGCAGATGGATTGGAGACTAATGTCACATCAAGACTCTCTTCCTGATTAACGTAACGCAAAGATTAGTTTTTCCTTTAATATTGTCTCATGAAATTACATATTCTTTTTTTTAAAATTGCTCTGTGAGGCACCTTGCAACTATTGTTTTAACTACTTCATAATTGATCCTCTGGGGAATCACTAAAATCTTGATTCCCATACCGGGAGTTGAACCCGGGCCGCCTGGGTGAAAACCAGGAATCCTAACCGCTAGACCATATGGGAGATACATCCATGAAGATAGATATTAAACTACGAATTAAAAACAGCTTTGTTCAAAACTTTAATGAAGCATATTTGACTGTTGATTGTTTATAAGTTGTTGTTGTTTCAGGGTTAGTTAGTAGTTTTTATTACCACCACTTGAGAGAGGTTAAATTTAATTCAGGTTATTATAGAGTATACAGGGATTAAGCCAGGCTGAGATTACACGAGGTTTAGTCTGATTTAACTCAGATTCATCTACCTGTAGTCCGTGTAGAAGTCTTCTTAAAGGTAAGATTTGATAAAATCTACAAAGAACCTCTCTAGACATGTTTAAAGACATAAAAAATACTCTGCTCTGAATAATAATTTGAGTAAAAAAAGGCCTTTTAGAGTCAAACTGAGCATACATCAATCTGCACAGTGATCCAAAGGAAGTAAAGATAAGCAAAACACATTTTTGACCATATTATGAACAATTAAAATTGAAACTTTATATGAATTTGTATCATGTTAGATACTTATGAGTTCAAATCTGGACGGATCAAATGAGTAGCAGTAATTGAAAAGCAAAACAATCTAATCTTGTAGTTTGTAAGTGCTCAACAAAGTTAGAGGAAAAATATTTGAAATTTCCTCTTTTGAAGCCTAAATTCTGAACTCCTGGAATCTGTGTCTGCTGCAGAACTCACCAAGGCCTTTCAAAAACTTGTTGACTCCACTCTGCTCTGTGTCTGGCAACTCCTCCAGATACTGGTCGACCCTCTGCTCAAACAGACCTGTCAACAGGACAACACAAGAGATTTAAAAAAAAAGAGAGAATATGAATCATCTCAGTATTCAAGGAAGTTAGAATAACTTTTGTCTGCCAAGAAGCACAGTGATGGGTGGTGAGAAAACATGCAGATGATAGCTTTCAGCCACTAGAGATCAGTATTACTGCAGTGCACAGTTAGTATTAGAGTTTGTACAGGGGTGGAACTCCATAGAGGAAAGTGTACACACTTTTCAAACAAACTTTTAAGGAAGGAAAGTCTACCTTTTGCCCGGGTCTTCCTCAGCTCCCGATCCTGAATGAACCCTGCAAACATCTGAGACTCCATGAAGACACCGAGGAAACGACGGATGCTTTTAGAAGCCACTGACTTGCGGAAGGCCTCTCTTTGGAGAACGCGCTCTCCGCGCTCATTCTGAGTAATAAACAGGGAATAATGGCCGATGGTCTCCAGGAAGAAGCGGATGAAGGCCTCTGACACCAGGCTATTCAAGGAGTTATACTCTGTGGACACAAAGGAGAAATACTAGGGGTTAGGTTTTCATCATAAAGTAATAAAACAGACATGTCACACTGTATGGCATGTTGACATTTTCTAAGAAATAGTCAGATAGTTCTTAATGTATCCTTGAGCAGCCAGAGAATTAAGTAAAATACATGGTTTGGCTCAACGCACAAGGACACATATGAAATCAAATCTGCCCACAGCAATTGTTAACTGTGTGGAGATTCAGGGACGTGTCCCATAAAGCTTTGTCTAATCAGCTTGAATCTAATTAACCACAAAATAAGAAATAATAATAATGTGGTTGCCCTCTTTATTGGTGTTATCAGTTACGTCAAAAGTATAGAATTAGACAAAAGCTACTGGAAAATCTGAGTTTACAGAGGCAAGAGAAAAGACACCATGAACATTCAGATTTAAAAAACTCTGCAGAAATCTTCCTATTTAGAGACATTTAGTAAATATTATACAAAGAAACTGAAATCCTCAAGATCTAGACAACCAGAGCTGTAACTGTGGTGCCTTGCCCATAGTCATTAAAGGACAATTTGAACATGATTGGGGTTTTTGCTCATTTTCTGCATTCCCTTGCTGTTTTATATTATTGTTTGTGTTTGTTAATTTCCTTTCATGTTGGTTGTTTTGTACAGTAAACGCTGGCTCATAGGCCTGGCATACTGTATAAATATTACAAAGTACTTCAAGAAGAGGACATTCTTGTGTGTAGTAGGGGTCATATAAAGTCAAGCTTAAACATCCATTTCAACTAAAAGACTGTGGTGGAAGTATTTTGCTTCGGTTTGCACATTAGTGAGAACAAGTTTTGATTGAGAAGTGGCAGATGTGATGCAACCACAAAGTTAGCTGTTTTGGAGAAGAATGTCACATCAAGCTCTTCCTGATTAATGAACCAATATCAAAGATTTGTTTTCCATTATTGTCTTTTGAATTTCGATATTATTTTCATTTTGTTGTTCTGTGAAACACTTTGCAACCTTTGTAACAAATAAGGCCATTATTGATCCCCTGAGCTTCCCTAAAGCTGCAATTCCCATACCGGGAGTTGAACCCGGGCCACCTGGGTGAAAACCAGGAATCCTAACCGCTAGACCATATGGGAGATCCATATATGAGAATAGATATTAAACTACAGATTAAAAACACAGCCTCATTCAAAACTTTAACAAAGTGTGTTTGACTGTTTACAACTTTCCGTTTGTGGACCCTAATGAACCCTCCGTGGAGCACATGAAGAGTTCATCAGAAACACAATTATCTCAGCTCCAAGATGAACCTCTGTGACTCACTATCATGAGTAGTCTCCTGAGGACTTCATCTCGAGTGAGTTTCACAGAGACACAGACTGAACATGTCCTACAGAAACTGTTGCTCTAATTAACAAGGGGAACATCTGTCTTGGTAGGGAGAGATGATTTGTCACTTATTCACCTTCGTCTGACTCGCTGTCAGAGTCCTGATTGATGATGTCATTCCTCTGCTCCAGCGCTTGCTCAAGAGCTGCCTGAAGTTTCCGCGGCAACAGCGAGGCCTCGTCGTCCATCTATAAACAACCAAAAACACTGCAGTCACCAGCGATAAACAACCGTGTTTGGAGAATAAGTTTCAAAGGGCTCAGACTTACAACAGAGAACCGCATGTTTTACAACCCTGTTTAAAGCGAGACCATGTAACTTCTGAAAGAAGACAAAACACAATATTCCTCTTACAAATGAAAAGTTCCGTTCATAAGAAATAAAATGCACACTCACGCAACTGAATGCATTCAGAGGTTTGGCTGGTTGAGCCTTACTTCTGGTCTGGTATGACCAGTAACTTATGATGGACAATGTTTGTTAGCTTTAGTTATAAAACTTTAACCCCTGGCCGGGTTAAAACCGGGGACACTACTAAAGAGCCTCAAGAAGATTTGGGGAAATTAAGGGAAATTGTTATTCTCTTGCATTTGCCACATGTGGCAACAGTGGTCACTGTTCAGCAAAAGTTACATAATCTCACTTTCAGGTCAGTTTTTCCATTGTTTCATAAGTTCATAGACTCACCTGTCGGATGAATCGGTCAGTTCCCAGATCAACCATTAAAGCCTGAGAAAAGGAAAAGAAGAGTGTTTTATTCTTCAGCACTAATTAAAAAAGCCTTCAAAGAAGCTACAAAAAATTCACATATAAAACTAATTTCAGCAACAGGAAGAGTGATGTAATGACTGGGACTGACACATAAACGACTCTCAGACAGCGAGGTATGTGTAGATATTGCTAATGCTGAGGTCAGACAAAACTTTAATGATTTTATCAGCAAGGTGCCAACCCAATAACTGTATAACTAATTAAGAACACTGCTTCACTGAGCTTCTTCTGCCAAAAATATTAACATTTGAGAAGTGGGAACAAGTGTATCACCTAACTCTGCGGTCCATAAAGTGATAATATGCCAATGTGTTTACAACTTGTTCCACTGGCCAAGTGGACAAAACAAAATAAAATTGAATGCACCTTTAAGTTGTTATGCTCTGAAAGCTACAGTCTAAAAATATGACCATAGTTTTGAATTATTTCCTGTGGTTGGAAGTCACCTGGCTGGTTCCCTGATATAATAACAGTAGAGGCAACACTCGGCCAATTTATAATGGAATTACTCCGAATCTGTATTGTTGTAATTTATCAGCCAAGACACTAACATCCACTATTCCAAGAAACATGCTTCGATTAAAGAAAGACGAGAACAAAGACACACATACAGAACAATCAAGGAGATCTAGATGAAGAATGTACTCACCTCTTCCACAGGCAACTCCTTAAGCTTAGGCAAAGAACTGGACAGGAGCCCCACCAGGAAGGGAGTGGGACAGCAAACAATATCCAACATGGACCCTGGCAGCACAGGGATGAAGGTGTGTTGCCAGGAGAAGGGGTAGAGCAGCGCCACCACTGCATGCATGCAGCTGGACAGGGTACTAATGTCAAAAAAAAAAGAAAAAAGAAAAAGACACCACCATCAATCACCTTCACACTCACATAACACCCTGCAGAGGCCACACCAGATTAAACTCAAAACAGTAAAAACAACAGCACAGATGGGTTTTCCAGACTGAAGGGGGAGTGGTGGTTTATATGGTAAATGTTCCTAACAATACTGACTACTGAAGTAAAAAAAAACATAAAACCGCTTCTTCAAAATGTTTAAACCATTAGATTAAATCATTACCTGAGGTACAAACTGAACTTTATGAGCACAAATAGTACATTTCCATCGCTAAGCTATCTTCCCAAGTTAATTGACTACTTGATCTTCTTTCCCTCGTAACAGTTGTTTCACATGAGGCATAACAGCACAGCTATGTACCAATAAAATGCATTATTGTGACACTGTCTGCAAGGGTGGCGTGACTCTGACATGTTGCTATGGTTAAGCTGGAGGTTTGTTGACGCAATACCAAAAGAGCACCAATTCGGTTTAACTCCGACAGCTGTGGTATAAAATCGAGATTACAAATAGCAGTCCGTCTTTCTCACGATCCGTCGCTTGTTGACAGTGGCTGACCCTCCTCCCCTCTGTCCTCTACATACTGTCCAATCCATGTACACAAAGAGAGTGAAAATAAACTGTGGGTCCAATCATACACACACACAGTGGAGCACTAAATCAGTATGGATCAAGAACAAGCCCAGGGATCAAACATGGTATGCAAACGCACCCCACTTGAGATATATACACTTTTAATGAGGAATGTTTTCCATGGTCGCTGTCATCAACAGCAGACAGAACATCCAAGTAAACAGAAGTTACTCCCTTTTATGTGACCTCATTCACACTGAGTTTCAGCTCCAGCCCGAAGAGGTTCTAACTGCATTTTGGAGCAACATACAGAGAACAGAGAGCAGTACCAATATCATCAATGTGAGATAAACGACAAACTCCCACAAACTTTTCCACTCCGTTCATTCAGGCTCTACGCGTTTGCCACAGACCTTTTCATCTTAACTTCCCATGAGTCAAATTGCCAAGATTAAAATGTGTTTTCTTGACAGGGTAAAATAGAATTACACCAGTAAAAACCCAAAGGCTACAATAACCACAGCATTCAGTCTTTTTAGGCCCTTTCCAGTTCACTCATAACATGAAGCACTTGCAGCTTTGCTTTGGCCGGTCTGATTTCCATTTGCCTGAGGAGGGCTTGATAATTCCTAACAGACCCGTCTCCTGGGTTTGACGAGTTCCAACAGGGAGTGATGGGGCACAGATCTCAGAAAAACCTTCGCCACAGGCTACATGCGGCCCTACACACCACTGATACCAAAAGGATCAATTACACTCATTCCCCAACCACACACTCTTGGGAGAGGATGAACTTGCAATGAAAACACTCTGCACTACCAGAGGTTGCCACTCAACTCTGGAAAGAAAAAGGGACATTCCCGTTAAGATTCAGACCAAAAACTTCAGGCCCTCAGACCACACATGGGTCAAAATACTTTGTGGCCTGTTGACTAAGAGGTGAGAATAATAAATTAGCAACAAGAAAATGTAACATCCTACATGAAAGATTTTAATTAGACAGAATCAGTGGGGGGGGGGAATTGTTTGTTTTGAGTTTGTATATGTAGATAAGAATTGAGGTTGCATTGTGGTTGTATCTGATTGGATTATGTTGTATGGAGGAATGGCTCTAGGGATGGAAATGTCGGTCTGTCAGAAGGTCAGTTTGCCCAACACTTTGGACCAGACTGAAATATCTTCGCAACTATTGGACGAATTGCCATGAAGTTTGATTCAGTACTTAATGACCAAATCACTGCACAACGAACAACAATCCCATCAGCCTCAGCTGTACTTGTGTTTACTGCTAACATCTTGAACTAAGATGGCAAACATGATAAACATTAGCAAGTATCATCACTGTGAGCATGTCTCTCAAAGCACTGCCCAAGTAAAATAAGGGTTTACCAAGTTGATAGAAAGTTTGTGAGACAGAACCTCCTGTCTTTTAAATGTTTAACCCCAAGATTTCACACCGAAACGACAACTTGTGAGCATGAAGTCGGATTCAAATATTAATTTGATTCATTTCAATATGATTACACACTTAGAAGTCATATAGATTTATGATTTCCCTCTCAGGAAAAGAGAGAAGAACCAGTTCTGCAGAGGTGAGGTCTGTGCAGAGCTGTTATGTGTTGAGGTTTGGGAGCTAATCCTGACATATTAGCTCTCGTAGTTCTGCCAGGCCTGGTTTAGTGTGTTTGAGGCTGAACTGGCAGATACTCCAGGAAACATGGGATCGAAAGGCTTAGTCTGTGAAGCCCAGAGGAGGAGGGAAAATTTCAGTGTCCGAGACAGAGAGAGGGAGGGAGACAAGAGCCTGAACCACCACATGCTTCACAGCTCTACTAAAGCACTGCACTGTGTCTACGAGCCCTGGCATGGCTAAGACTGATTCCATAGACAGAGGACAAAGAGGACTAGACCGAGAGCGAACCGAACCGCAGCTGTCAGACACCAGCTGTGCTGCAAAACTCTGCAAAGCAATTCTTCAATGTTAAAGCACATCCCAAACTCAAAATAACACCTAGAAATCAGATAAAGGTGCAGCAGAGTACACATAGACCTATATGATTCCTATGACAAGCTGCACATGGTGTATTTTTATCCTCTAGCAGAATGTTTTCTGCTCCCTTAGTCCCCAAATGGTTTTTCCCTCACTTCCTGTCTTTAAGGATCTCCAGCCACCGGCTCTTGGTCTCGGCTCCCTGGCTCCACAGAAGGCAACAGCAGAAGCCATTTTACTATGAGAAATGGCTTCCCGATGGGAAACCCTATACATGTTCTTATTAAAACCCCAATAGTGTCTGAGTTTGATCAGTGCTGTCTAGAGAGCAGATGAATGTGTGCAGGTGTTTGTGTATATTAGTCTCTACATGTGTATGTGAGCGTCTACATGTGGGTGTAAACATTCACGGGAAAAGACACTGATGTAAAAATCAGCTGGTCAGACTCTGGTAATGGCCAAGTCTTTCACGACTCTTTGAAAAACAGAAACATTTCACATGTTTACAGTGTGTGGATTTCACTCTACCTCTGAGTTAAATACCACATGGGAAACTGGTTAAGTTGTTAAAAGCAGTTTTGGCTTTGCGCCAGTTCTGCAGAGTGAATTACAGAAGACTAAATTAAGTATGCTCACACTAGTTGATTAGAAAAATGCCAGCAGCAGTGGCAATAATTCTACCTGTCTGATGATTACAGACACCATACATCATAACACTGCAGCTGCAAAACATGTTGGTACCTCCAACTCACTTTCAGACTGCTGGATCATTCCAAAAGTAAAATCATGCAGATTAAATACCCGTTTTGAGGTTGCTATTGGCACAGATGCGGACCAGAATTGACAGCATTAGGAGGGTCTGTGCATAAACCAAAGCAGCTTCCTGCACTGCAAAAAGTGTGCTTGATTAATTCACCATGGCCATGAGAAAAGCTTTAAGAAACTGTTGTTCTGTTTCCCTCTACAGTCTCCTCCCTTTTTACTCTTTAATCTATCATTCTATTTCTTGTTCTTATTCTTTACTACCTCAATCGACATGTGAGACACCCGCCTCCTTTAACAACACATCTCTGCAATCAAATGTCATTTCATACTTGAATTTTGAGTGCAGCTAGTCTGAATAATGCAGAGAGGATGGTGGAATTCAATCATTTTACAATGGAGCTATATCAGGGAAAGTCATTTAGATCCAATATGCAGTAACACTTCCACTGTAGGAGTATTTCACTGCCATGCCAAGAGATAAATCCAGACATGCACATGCAATGTGGTAACCGTCCTCAACTCTAGCCTGAGGACTGGCAGAGCCTGTTTACATAAGTCTGCAGCACTGACAAAACTCATTGAGCATCTGCAGGTCAATTGAGTTAAGCAATTACACTGTGACACAGTTGATGATGAATTTATCTGATTAGGCATCCAACTTGTTATTACAGGCACCATAAGGTGAATGATCTCTTTAAAAGAAACTGCAGACTTTTCTGCAGAGGCAACAACTTCTCTGGAAAAAATAACAAAGATTGCATTATAATATTACACGAGTTAAGTGAACGTAACGAGCGACAGAAAACTATTGCCTAACATGGCTTTTCCCTTGCTTCCTGCTTGCATTGGATATACATTTCAAGGGAAAGAAACATACATCATGTTGTGCTGGTGAGGTATTTTGGGAATGGATTATGTACCAGAGCCCCCGAGGGAGCAGCCCTTTTTATCACATAAGTCATTAATGTCGCAGTGAGGCCCTGTCACTGTTTTTAAAAGAAACCAAAATACAGGAGCTTTCACATTTAAATCCACACACACACACACACACACACACACACACACACACACACACAGGGTTTGAGCAGATCATATTGTAAGCATGACTTTATATTTATGACACAAACTTATACAACTCACATTTGTAAGTTTCTTTTTTGTAGTTATTTCTGTTTTCTGTACATAATTTGTAGTCTGAAATTGTACTTTATGTGTCCTTTCTTTACTGCAGACATTTTAACTGTTGTTCTGCTTCACAGTAATTTAACCTTTGGCCAATTTGAATTTGAATGGTGGCTCTCAATAATGCTAATGTTTACCATGTTCACCATCTCAGTTTAGCGTGTTAGCATGCTAATATTTGCTAATTAGCACTGAACACAAATTACAGCTGATGGGAATGTCATTTCTGTTGTTTGCATGTAGTTTTGCATGTATTTGGTCATACATTGAAATATTGACCTGATGATGGTTCTAGAGAAAGTTAAGAAACCAACAAAGTTACAACAATTCACTCTGAGGAATATGAATGTACCACATTTCATTACAGTCCGTCCAATATTTGTTGAGGCATTTCACCCATAACCACAAAGGTGAACCTCATGGCAGCGCTCTGGGACCCATGAATGAATGCACTTTGTTACACAAACACCCCCAGACACCCCCAGAATTTGGGGGTACTGTACTGTATGACTTTTAATAATTATTTAATCAGTTTTCTGTATAGTTATATCATCACTGTCTTGGACAACATATCGTGATAATACTGTATCATGAGTTACGATTCCCACCCAGTGACTCCTTGATGTTATCACCTCTGGTAATCAGCAGCTTAGACCAATATTCTCTGGGGACGCAGAGAGTGCCGTAGCTCATACGTAGGGAGTGAACGTGGCATCATAAGTCAAATGGTGACAGTTGAGCCGCAGATCACAGAGGGCAGAGTCGCGCACACAGGAAGTACATTCCTTTTCCTCACAGTCACTGCCCCCACTGATGTTTGTTTAAACTGGGCTTTGATACATGGAGAGATTACTTCTCGACTCAAATCTCCTCCCACTCCACCCTCGCCTCCAATGCTCCAAAAGTACCCCTCTCTTTTCTGTAACAAGAGGACAGACTGGGACATTGAGTCCTTGGAGACTTTTCGCATCCTTATTATCCTATCATTCTCCCCTGGCAGACTCTCACTGGTGTGACCCAGTTTACTTTGGGTATCAGAACTGGCAGCTGACTGACTGACTGGCGGGCTGATTGACCTGTCAGCCCCAGCTGACAAAACCACAACATAATGCTGCTATTATGTGTGTGTCGGTGTGTAGAAAGGTTATTGCTAATTCTGGCAGCATCAGCGAGGTTAAGTCTAAATGGGCAGGCTGAGGGACACAAGGTGACGGTCAAGCAGGCAGTCTGTGAAAAGTTTTTGGAAGAAATCTGATAACGTTTAAATACCAGTCATTCCATCCATAATAGCTATCCATCCATTTTTTAACCCCCTTAATTCTGCTGAGGGTCACAGGGGGCTGATGCCTATTTCAGCTCACTATGAATGGGAAGTGGTGTATACTCTGTTCAGGGCTATTAGAGGGCTCCATGAGTGATGTCAATTAATTTAAATGTACTTTCAGTGCCTGGGGCTCCCAGAGATTACATTATCCCGGGCAATCTTACATTACAACAAAAATGTAGGAAAGGTTCTATTCCATTTCATTATCATCTGTTGACAAAACGCAATATTTGTTTTTTCCTTGAAATATAAAATATGTACAAAAGCTCAAACAAAGAAAAAGCTAATTACACTACAAGAGGAAAAAAGTAACCCACCCTCACTGCACAGGACTAAGACTAATCGTGGAGCCTCACCTGAGTTTATCGGCCACAAAGATGACTCTCCGCTCCAGCAGCAGCGAGGCAAAGACTCGAATCACCTGCCGTACACCGAGGCAACTGAACAGACTGTCAAAGTCCACGTGCTCCAGTCTGGAGTCAGTGGGCCGCCTCAGCTCAATGACCTGAATGACCACAAAAAAATAACTAAGAAGATCTTCTTTCAACTGTATCTGAAAATGATTTGGGCTAATGGGCGTAAAGTAGTGAAAGAGAAAGCAAATGGTTTCTGTTTTGTCAGCAGCTCTGACCTCATTTCCTGCACCGGGCAGAAAGGTCTTCACTTTGATAATCTTCCCTGGTGCAGGGAAGGGCGACTCCATCAGACTTCTCATGAAGGGGTAGACCAGGGCTGCCGAGACACCTCGCCGCCGCTCCACCTCATCCAAGATCTGAACATGGTAGGACAGAAGCACAGTTTCATTAACATACTTCATAAAGCAACAGTTTTAACATCAACAACGCACAAGTCTCTGGAAATCTTGTTAATATGAAAGGAGCCTCAGGTTTTATCCATGTCGAATGAATATCCCACCAAGACAAAAAAGTGCACAGTCATCAAGGTCTCGATGGCGACAATTAATGGAAACATATGTGTTTGACTACTAGCAATTGTCTGGAACTCAGTATTCATTTTCTGTTTTGAAAAATAGCAATTGAGTTTCTTTCCATGCCTGTGTGATTGGAAAATTCCACCCAGTGTATCTGTCTGTCTGTTTTGGTCCAAGCTGCCTCCTGTCTGGAAAGTTGATTGTAGAATCGCCTGTTTTCAAGGTCATATGATATTACCTCTCTCGTCCTCTCCATCTCTCTGTTTGTCTGTCTGTCTCTCGCACACACACAACTCCCTCTGAAATCAAACACCACCTTCTTTTCACATTTATCATGAAAAGCACTTGTAAAATAGATCCCCTTTGCTTTAGTCTCAGGTTTGTTGCTGTACTGTTCACAAAATTGAGGCATTTAAGACATTAATCTTTTATCTGGTGAACAGCCTCAAATATCACATAATGCAAAACTAAACAAACTCTGGTGCTAGTAAACACTTTGTTCTCATATTAAATGCTAAACTTCATCTATATAGCACAGCTATTCTGCTTTAACTCAACTACCAATACAGATTTCAGATTTTTCATTTCAGGATTAGTTTTTTAAAAATGTTTTCCCAAACTGTGGCGTTGCCTTTATAGGACCAGTGTGTAGGATCTAGTGGCATCTAGCAGTGAGGTTGCAGATTCCAACCATCTGAATACAGCCCCGCCTTTGAAGTGTGTAGGAGAAACCTGTGAGAAATGTGAAAGGCTCAACCTAGAGCCAGGGTTTGGTTTGCCCGTTCTCTGCTACTATAGAAACATGGCGGTTCAACATGATGGTAGAGGACCCGCTCCCTCTGTAGATAAAAAAAGGCTAATTCTAAGGCAACACAACAATTCTTACTTTCAGGTTTTCATTATACACTCATGAAAACATACATATGGATAATATACTCCATTTCTGACAATAGATCCTCTTACATGTTTGGACCTTTAATCACAGGTTGTTGTCAATCTCAATTGTTAAATAAATATACAGCGCATATTAGCATTCTGTCTTAGAAATATACCATGGTGTTTTATTTTCACACCATATAGCAGACACTTTGTTCCAAGAGTTGAATTAATAAGTAATCAGATAAGGCTGAATTAGTCAAACAGAGTGTCTGCTCTGCTCTGTGTTCATACCACTAAGACAAAAGTGAAGGAAACAGTTACTCTGGGAAATCAGAAAGTTAACAACAAAAGGCTGAAATAAGGTTTACCAATAAACCGGCATTCAGCAGAAGGTCTGCTGAAAGTCATTTACTTCAGCTGTGAAACCGGTTAACCACAGCTACAACACCACACACAGCTTGCTTACTGTAGCTGCCTGTCTCCAGTACATGTGTTTGTGTGTGAGAGTGCATATGCTTGGGCAAGGCTGAACTCACCGTGGAGAACAAGTCAAAACAGCCCAGTCTGCTGATGACACAGTACACCTCTGGAAGGCGCGGCCCTTTCCCAGTCGGCTGCAAGAGAAAGCATACAGAGACTCATTGGACACTGATGTTAACGAGATGACACATTCACAGACGTGCACTGCAAGCACATTTAAAGGAAGAGTTCAGCAGTATAGCATAACATTCCATGAACTTGCAGGAAACAGATTTTATTTAAAAAGAAAATCGAAGCACCAGAGGCATTTCCCATAATGCAGCTTTTGTTAGAGCATAATCCAAGTTTGAAACACAAAAATGTGATGTCTCCAAGCCCAAGCCGAGACGACCTTGATGACTTAATTAAGTTTACTTTTCAGGCTTTTGAAAGTTCCTCCACAGCCACTGAAGACATAATACATCACTTTTCACGCCCTGAAAAAACCCCCAGTGCTGACTGGACTTGATGTGTTAAATCTGTAGATCGGTAACCCTTTAACCCCGTTAATTTAGGGTCAGACCATGATAATACAATATGTAGATAAGCTGTGTAAACACTGTTTAAATCTAGGCTGTAATCTGAGGTGAAAGTCTTTTATGTGGATACCAACTTCCTAAACACAGGTGGTTTATCTGCTTGTGCTGATGGTATCTACCTTCCTCTGTACACTTATAGACCATTATGTGCTTCGAGACACAGGCACTCAAACACACAGATACAAATGAACCCAAGCACTCAAGAAACGCCAATCCACTTGTCCATATTAGGTATACAATTTTCTCCTCTTGTTTCTCCTCCGCTTTTCCAAATGGATGATTAAATCAACTATGTGGAGCTTGATTCAAGTCCTCAGGAATGCTCGGTTACTGCCAACGGCTGGTCAGACAGCAGGGAGGAAACAAAGTTACTGGAGGAGAGCAGCTCACCTCTTCCTCTACCTTCATTAAAATCTGCTTCTATCAAGATGAATCTCAGATCAACCGTGCAGATCAAGTTTTTAAAAACATGTTTTTGTCTGATCAGAGAGTTCCAGCACATATGCATACGCAGTGGTAAAGACACTGTCAATAAACCTCTGAGAGTATACACACTGTAGTACTGTAAACATACTCAGAAATACCAAACGGCAAACAAAATCACCACCACATTCACTGCATCCCACACAGTCATGCTCTCTACCCGCAAGCTAAATGGGAAGCTCAACAGAAAACTTCAAAGCGCTCTCCAGACTCATTATGAAGAGGAAATACTCCACAATGACAAAGTTAGGATTTTTCATGGTTTCTCTGTCTTTCCTTCCCTGAGAAACTCTTGTTAAATTGAATGAGTCAATCCTAACTGGGTTTTTATCATACATACAATATTATATTTCTATGCACGACTGAATGTTTGCAGTATTAACACTAGTTTAAATATTATGCAGCAACTATATTTCTGTCTGTTCATTTTATAAGATACATGCAGTATGTGACTATATACTATTTATACTGTATCAAATTCAAAATCTGTTTATAATGACAGATTTAAATATTTAATATTAAACCACTTTAAAGCATTTTTGTAGCAACTGAAATCTCCGTTCAAAGATCGCTGTGTGGTTTGAATGTTTGTTATTCCAGATGTTTCTGTTTCTGCTGTTTGCCATAGGTATTTCCTGGACAAAGGCTAAGAAGTCCCCATAAATTACCCTCATGCTGATCAGCAGCTATAATAATGAGTGGGTGAATCTTTTTTGTCTGCCTTTTTTGGGCAATGGGCACAGTTTTATTTTTGTTTTTTTGCTTTACAGGCTCTCTTTCCTGCTGCCACAGTGGACGGTCATGCAATACATCAATGGGTCCCAGAGGAAAACCATATCACATGTTCACATATCTGTCACAACAAACAGGGCTCAGCAGGGTGTGAACAGGGACCAGAGGATGAGGGGTTGAACAGTGGCTTACCAGCAGGCGTCTGCAGTACCCAAACCTCCTGCTGCCGTCCTCTCCAGTCAACATGAAGGAGAAAGTCTCACTGTAACACAAATGCATGCACATGAGAATCAACACAAAGACACACACGCATGTAAACAATCTGTACATACATATGCATATAAAAATTAAATACACAGAGCACAGAGTCAGGACTGCAGGGCGCCTTTGTGTCGGGTCTGGTCCAGTTTTACATTCAGATGTTTGTGTAGCAGTTGTAGTACACAGCAGTGTTGATAAGCATCAACACCATAAAAATCATTGGTAACATAGTTTAAAAATATGCTGTGTGGACAGTCGGTATTCCTGTTATTCATTGTAATAAAACTACATTCCCTCTTAGTGTTGATTCACACATTTAGCAACAGTTGATGCTGCAAGTTTTAGCAGTAACAACAGGGGAACTCATGACGGTGGATTTACTCATCACAAGAAGTACTACTCAGCCTGTCAAGACAGTTGAATAATATCCTCTGCGGAGTCTGAGAAAATGATATTAATGATGTCATCGGGGTTATCTTGATTACGTCTTGAGACTTTTTTCACAGAAAGCCTGTGCCACAGAATGGAAGAGGGTGTTTAACCGGGCAAGGAGGGTTTAATAAAGCTTTAGTGTTGGATAAATCCAGGATTTTTTTTGACCCACTCTAGGGGCTTAAAGTCAAGATATCTTGGCTTTGATTTTGACTACTCTTCTTTTTAATCAGCCTGTCACAAGCCTACCAGCTATACTGGAGTACCTATTTAATACAACAGTTAATAATATGTGAAAATGTGACACTGAATTAGGAAGATTATCAGCCATACCTGGTGTACTCAGACACAGGACTCCAGTCTTTTGCATCTGGGAAACAGAACTGAGGAATGGCTTTGAGTCTCTGTTCGGCCTCCCTCATCTGCTTGGTGGGCCTCTCTAGCTGTGAGAGGAGAGGAGAGGAGTTTCAGTCAGCTCATTTTAATGCAGATAACTGTGTCCTCCTTTTGTAAGATCCCCGCGGGTGTCAGCATGACCAATAAATGACCAGACTAACATTTCTCCTATACAAGGTTAAACCTTTGCCCCCCCCCCTCCCCTCCGGCCTCATTAACTCCATAACAGATTGAGTGTTTCCCCTGGCAGGCAGAGATGTACTTCTCCCAAGGGACACTGCTGCTGAACCAGATCTTAAATAACTTTAAAATATATCTTTGAATAACTAAAAACACTTCCCTGCCACAGAAATGGATCCTGGGTTATGTTTAACTATAAACAGACTCCCAGGACTCCTGTACAGCTTTAAATTGTCAACAACCTGCATAATCAAGTGTGAAAGGCTCACAGAAATATAGAGTTTCATTTCAGTTCAAACATTCAAAAATGGGCACGGGTCACTGTCTGTAATGATACATCATCCTGCTCATTTTCAGCATAATCATCTGTAGTAATACATGACTAAGAGCTCACAGTGGGAAAACTCTGAAAACCGTACAGTACATAATCAACCGTTGTTCCAACACGTTATTTCTAGATGACACCTGCCAAGCTTTATCCGTGGCATTAACTGTTACATCTTTTAGACCGTCTAAATATGACTTAACTGGATTACATTTGCTTGTGAAAACTGAAAATCAACAGTTCGTCTCCATCATCATCTCCAGTTGTCCGATATGAACTGTTATTAACTGTGTCAAGACAGTTTTCAATGCTGCTGCCTGTGCTGTTGATTTATTCATTAGATGTGGTGTATAAGCTCTTCTGTTATCAACATGTATACGCTTATTTCTTGAACTATCCCATCATCATCATTTTTATTTTTATTACATTTATCTAATTATTTATATATATTTTTTCATTTAACTATTTAATTTAAATCTAATCTATCTGAAATTAGGTCTGACCTTTTCCCAGAACATGCCATCGATTTTTAAACTGACTGAGTGATAAATGTGTTTTTTCCACCTTCTGCAGTCGCCTAAACACACTAACATGCAACAGGGAGTGCTTTTAAATTCAGTACCTGCTGTCTACAGCATTCAGTAATGATAATAATGCAGCTCTGAGCCCTTGTAAATCAGCAGAAGTGGCGTATCAATGTAGTATTTGTGATTTCTAATTCCTGAGCTAAAACAATTGGTGAGGTCCTTAAATGCATTTCAAAGAGTGGATTTAGTTATGACTTGCTTTTTACCTTGGGGAACTGGTAGGTGACCTCTGGGGAGTAGGAGTTCTTGCTGGGTTTCTTTTTTAGAGAAACAACCACAAAATACTCAAAGAGTTCTCTCTCCTGCCACTCAATGAGCTGCAGCTCCAGTGTGCGGTAGCTGGGGGCCCGTCGAAGGATGGACTGCAGTTTCAACAACCTCTGGGTGTGAGCTGAGGAGGGAGGCGAACATTAATACACAATTCACTGTCTGAAGAGAGTTCACACTTTGCAGCTCAGTGTGTAAATATAAGGCTCTGTGGGTATTAACCTTCAGCCAGTCAGGATATTAAATGTTATTGTTAAATGGTGTGATTCACTTTTACTGGCAGTACTGAAAAACAGAGAGAAAACATCTCTAAATCTCATTAGTATTCATCTCTGCCATTGAATCTAAATATGTGATAAATGTTGTATGGTCTACTGATAATCCGTGCATATGGCAGTTCTGTGGTCTGTCTCACGCTGGGTTATTTGTTAAATACAAAACTTGGAAGCTGTTGCACAAGCACCAGGAAAAACAGCCATAGGACAGCAGTGAAGCACCTAACCCTTGCAACTGTACGCTGTGGTCGCTCACCTTTGAACCTGTCGTCAGAGTCGCTCTCACTCTCACTGTTGTCATCTGAGGCAGATATGAGACAGACAAGAAGGTTTTGTCACGGGTCAGAGGGCAATTTCACAAACATGTGTTTATGTCATGAGAGGGACACAGCAAGAACTCAATGTGGGTGGCTGAGACACAAATATTTACTCGCTTATCTGGCCAGTGGATGAAGGGAATAAAGAGAGCCCTTACCTCTCAGAGATGCAGTCTCAACATTGGACATGGTCAGCTTCTTCAACCTCTTCTTCCCACGTTTAGTGCAGTAAATGGAGTTGATCCTCTGGACCAGCTGTAAACAGAGAAAAAGGGAATTCTCTGTTGGGGAATCTGAGGTTTAGTTTCTTTTGATCCTAAGTATAGAAGAGGGGGGTTGCACCTGGCCAAAAGTAATACTCTGCTGTACTTTAAGGGTAATAGAACTGAAAAACAACGTCATGGCGAGTTCTTGAGAAAAGGTACCACAAGAGTAGAGCTGAAACAAAAGCAGTAATTGAGTGCATGGAGGCAGTGTGTTTGAAAAACATCTTTTCCAAATTGAGGAATTACTAATGATCCCGAGCTGGTCTGACTCTGACTCGGTCCCTACAGAAATCTGAGCTGGTCTGTGAAGCAGGAAAGGAAAGAGATCAGAGTCGGAGCTCTGCAAGGACTTAGTGTAGGTGTTTGTGTAGGATCCAGTAGTGTGTACCTTGGGGATCCTACAGTGCCTGTGTGAGGCCAGGGTATCACTGGTACTGCAGAGGTTATCATCCAGCAGGCCACAAGGTGAAGGCGATAAACCCAGCTGAGGGAGAAGCAGCATTTCATCGTGGCTGTAGCGTTTTGACAACTGTGATAGCCGATGGCTTTTCCTGTCACTCGGCCCAGGGAGGCGAAGGGACTGGCTACTGGGTTTGGAAGGCAACTGGTCAGAGAGAAAAGAGTATGGATGGTTTGGTACATTTCAACAACTATTTATCCCAATGCATTCCAGTAATTCAAGATATTTTCCTTTAAGTTATAAGCCTTAAGATTTTCATGCAATCAAACCCCATCTTTGAGGTTATTACCTTTTTATATATAGTAGTTTTCAGTGTTTGTGTCCGCAATTTGCACGCTTCAGATTGCCGATTCAAATTTCCTACCTAAGCATGAGGGATATACAGGAAATGATGCATGCATGTAATCCAAAGTTATTTTATCTTACTGATATCAGCCTCACTGTTTACGGTTCACTCTTTACATTGTATCAGAGGTGTATTAAGTTACTGCTAATGCAAATCCAACATTGAGAGCATTAAAAGCATTCAAAAAGGGGAACACAGGAAGAAGTCACAGGAATCACAATGTATTATTACAAATGCATCTACAAATCATGACATGGAAATTCTCTGGATACGTTTTAAATTGTGTAAGGAGTAATGGAACAAAGAGGGGAAGACCCTGTGAGCTGTTGAACACCTACAACTTCTCAGCAAGGTAACACATTTTACTGTGCCCTGCTGTTGTCTGGACTATTCCCATGAAATGCAGCATGAAAGATTGCAGTTGCTCGTGGCCTGGTGGAAAAAGGCCAATTATCAACTTCTTTATTAAAACAACATGAGTTTGTTTGACTACACTCAAAAATACAGTACATTCCCGACAAAGTAGCTGCTCAACGAGTATTTGCTGGAGTATTAAACCACACTTGCTGAGTAACCATGTAAGTTTTGAAGTGAGGAAGCCAAATCTGCAGATGGACCTTTCAGTGTGGAATCTCAAGGTCTAAACATATCAAACTGCTTCCTGTAGTGCCACAAATGAGGTGTGACATTCTTTAAATGATCTTGTCCAGAATTCAGCACCAACAACTAGCGAGGGGATTCACGTTAAAGGAAAATATATGGGTTATTTTTACTACAGGAAAACAAATCGGTGCTGTTGATCCCAACAGGCTTATGACTTACCTGAGGTGGAGAGTTCCTCTTCCTGTCCATGGTGGTCCAGGATCGGCTGCTCTCCGCCACCAGACAAGATTTCCGACCCAAACTCTTCCGCTTCAAGTCAACATCCTCATATGGGTTCTCCTTTTCTGTGAAGATGAAGTAAGGATTCAAAGTAGTTCAAATACAATGTCAGCAGTAAAGCTAGAGACAGTTAACAGACAAAGGATGGTTTCAACAGGGGGCAGATGATGCTGGAGGGTCAAAAAGGGTAAACAAGGGGCAGTAAAGGGTGTCAGTGGCAGAAGAGGGCCTCCCTATGGTTAGGCTGAAAAGAGAGTCCTGAAAGGTAAGTCAAAGGTCACTCCCAGCCAGCTCAAGTGAACTCCCTTTTTTCAAAACAGTTACTGTTGGCACTGGGCCCCACAGGCCCCAGTGAAACTTCTGGACACGACACCGCTGGTGAGTCACTGTCCAGGCATGTTAACTGTCTGCTGTGAGAGATGAGCAGAGGAGTTATGTTCTCTGGCAATAAAATTGTTCAACTAATGTGAAGAGTTATATCTTAATGTACAAATATTTAATTATAATAACCATTGCCACACATACTGGAGTCTCAATTGTTAGTTGAGTTTAAGGACTTAAACCTCCAGAAGTTACAATAAGCATAGGCTTTGCTACTAATCTATAGCTGTACTTTAGTCAATAAATTATATCGGAAAAGGAAAGAAAAAGAACATTACAGAGCACTGCACAGCTCTCACTGATGTCACCTGGCAGAGGACCAACTTAAATAAAGAGAAAACTTGTGTAACACCACAGTCCATGTCTATTCAGACATGCTCTCTGAGAATAGCTTTCTGGCAGGGTCTGAAAAAGGTTGTGAGAAAGTGAAGAAACCACAGTGAAGAATAAAAACAGAGCCAGATGGCGTCGAAATGCATGAGGGGAACTTTTTAAAGAAAGAAAAGCAGTGTTATCTGTCAGTAGAAAGGGTAAGCGCAAAAATTTACTTAGTAGCCATGTTCCTTCTTCCCGAGTATATTCGTGGAAAACCCGATGAACTTAGCATGTCAAACAATGAGTGTGTGTTTTAAAAACACCAAAGATTAACCTACAGGCAGAGCTTTGTTCGGTGATCTATTTTTAGGTTAAATATTGAACCTGTGTGAGGTAAATACGCACACCCATGCATACATACACAGACAATGTACACTGCCTGGGATCTTTAGAGTGTTATGTTGTGTCACACAATAAATTAGGCTACTGGAGTGATTTTCTGTGCATCATTAAAGCGCAGGAGCAGAATAAGAGGGCTTAGTCTGACCCCACGTTGTGCTGAAACTCCATTAAACTGAAGCAACACTGTAATGAGAGCCTGCTGGGAAAATGATAGGTCTGTATAGCTGCTTATGTACTAGAGGGTACTAATCTACTCCTCTGATTACAAACATCCAGATCTGTCTCTAACACACCCCCAGACACACAGTATTATGCAGGGAGTGGACACACCTCGGCTGCACACTGTGATTGTACATTTCTGTGTACACAATGGACTCTCTGGGCAGGGAGAGGCACAGAACAAACTATACCAACAATGTCAGTATCTGCTTACCGTATAAAAGTGGATGAGCTACTGTATAGTGGCACCACTCACCCATACAGTCATAAACAGAAATGTGCATGGGATAAAAAAGTAGGTTACAGTTTAGTAAAAACATTTGGAAAGCACCACAAACCATACAGATAGTCTGCTTGTGACCACATGTAGGAGTATTTTTGGCATGTTTTGCACCACAAAATACCAAAATCACAGTCTTCCGGATTATTCACGGGAGTAAGAGCAGACAACACTTACGTCAGTGAAGGTAACACAAAGCTGGGAGTGACCACAAGACCAGGAATCTATGATACAGACAGCTGAATCATAGTGTCACTGGATCACAAGGTGTGATTCAGCTACACGTAAACAGATCACTCATTAGCACTCCATTTATCAACTACACTAGTCAAAAGCCCTTAAAACAGTCCCCTTATAACACAATCTATCATGCAATTGTAGTAACACCGTAGAATAGGTTGCAAATGACTTGCACTCGGAGAGTAAACATCTGACATCATGCACAGGTAACAAAAACCCAAATGGCGTGGGTGAATTTCCAACTAAGACAGCTAAGGAAGCCAAGATCTCCTTGTGGAGTTTAGGAAATGTGTGCAGACTTCTTTGTATGAAATGCTTGTTAAAATAGGGGCTCAGAGGGACCAAATCATGGCTCATTTACAGTTGTGGCTGCTTCTCAAATGGCTCATCTGACCTGTAAACCACTGCGTAGTGGTGGTGGAAACCACTGCACTCACATATTCAGTTTGAAAGCTTTGTTTGAAATATATGCAAATAGCTGGAGCTCTTTGTCGGGAACAAACACAGATTGGCAAAAGTGCGTCTCCAAACTGCACACTCCACACTCACAGTGCTGGAGGAACAATGGGGGCTTTGTTGGGATTCACATGAAAATCAGTCATGCCCTGACACTCTCCTACTGCACATCCTCGGCTTTAACAAAAACAAAAATGCTGTTGAGCACCACACTGATGACTGATTTGAGAAGAACAGTAATCTAACCACAAAGTAATGTAATACTTGCACCAGCCCTTATTTGGTCATCGATGAGCATTTATCATGAAAAATATTTCTGAGTGTGAAAACTTTTTACTGCATCTGAAATCCAAGCTTTATCATGAGACCGTACTCCCACTGACACACATTTCCACCACGTTAAGTATGCACTGGGGGAACTGGCAATTGGACTGGGCAGAAGGCCTGGGGTCATTTGCTAGTGGAAAGGAATTTGGCTCTTCAACATGTCCAGCATTTCATACACACATTAGCTCAGAACATTTGAGTCGACCCTGTTTACAGAGAAATACATAATGTGTCGCTGAAAGGGTTGCAATGTGAGAGGATGATGCTTGACAATCGAAATGTAGCAACTAAATAAACATGTTCTTTACTGTATGTTTGGTGCTAGGGCTGCACAGTTGTGGCTATTGTTGATTATCTTTGTGGACAAAAGAGTTTTACTGTGAGAGTTTTTCAGTGCTCATTCTCTATAAATGTGTGTTAGTAGAGTGCTGGATGTGAAATATGAAGAGAACCAGACTAACTTAATAGTAAAATACAACCTAGATAACCACATGTTTTCCATTAATCTGAGAGTGTTCATTGACTGCTCCCACGATGAGATTTTCTTTATGCCCCGCACCTCCGCATGAGGCAGTTGCAAGAGGAGGAGCTACTCTTTCACTCCTATTACATCAGGCCATGCTGCATGGGACTATCACTCTCACTACTAAAACATATGACTACTGTCCTCTGTGGCCACTATTGCATTCACAATAATCATATAATGCATGTATTTACTCTACATTGAAGGCCCTGAACATGAACTGACGCATTGTTTTCTTCTTTTTAAGTTGGGAATAACACTAATAACTGGGGGTCTTTACTTTACAGTAAACATGTTATTACATGTCCAAAAGGATGTAAGTACATAGTCATACATTTATAAATTTCTACTCAATTCCTCACAGTGCTGCCAAGTTTCACCTGATATTATCTTTAATCCTTCATCTGGTTTCAGTCAGATTACCAACAAATGACTTCAACTGCAACTATCTTTATGATCGATTAAGTCAATTATTATCTTGATTTATCGATTCATTGTTTGATCCATAAAAAATCAGCAAATTATGAAAAATGTACATCCACAAAAGCCCAAGTTGACATACTCAAATGTTTTGTGCAACCTACAGTCAAAATCCCAAACACTAAGAAATGCATGAAATATTCCCATTAAAGAAGCTGAAACCATAAGTGTTTGTCATATTTACTTAATATACATACTTAATAAGTGATCTATACAATAAATTGATTCTCAAAAAAGTTGATTAAAGATAAACTTTCTGCTGATTGATTATTAGCCTCATTGTTTCAGCTTTAAAGTGTATTCAAGAGAGATCAGTCAGAAACCAGCGAGTAATAAAAATGAAACAAAGGTCCACTAGTGAACCAGCATGCTTACCTACGATGTCCTCATATGCATTCTCCTCTAAAGTGCTTTTGGAATTGGGTTGACTCCTAGTGACTGCGGTTACTGTGCCATTCTCTGTAGGTGAGGACGGATAGGAAGATGGCAGACTCACAGCATCCTCTGACTCACACGACTCTCTGGAAAGACATTAAGAAAGAAGTTGCATAGTTGCACGCACAAAATAACAAGGAGGAAGAGTGAGTGTCTACCTCAAAAGAGGTAGACAGATAAGAGTAAACAGAAAAAGTCCAGATGGTATTAAAAATAGTCCAGACGGCCGGTTTTACTTCTTGTTCATTTGCCAACTAGGAAGAGAGCAATGCTGAACAGGTGGTTCAGACACTTCAGGTGGTTATAAACACACATAAAAAACATTGCCTTATCACTTAAAAAACTTAGATCAGGAGCCACTAATTAGAAAATACAGAACAAAACAGAAACACCAGGATCAGCATGTGCAATCACAAGGAAATTCATAAGTAAACATGCAGATATCTTACTATTCCTGTGCTCCGTGCACAGTACAAGGCACGCATCACATGTGAAGGCACTGCAGAGGAACTTTGCTACATTAGTGCAGGGATCTACAGTATGGTCATGTCGCGCCATCGACAGCTTGTGGCTTTTAAGCTTGGTCTGAAATTGCTAGAGCCACAGGAATGTTAAACACAGAGTCCAAGGGATGAACGTTTAAGGATTTCATCCCCATTTTACATAGGGACAATCTGGAGAGGCCCCACCCTCACACACACAAAAAATCTGAGAACGTCTGATCCTGAGAGCTATAAGTTAAGACTAGAAACAGGAGCAGAGTACAGGATCCAAGATTCAGCTAATATTTATGCAACAAAGAGAGAGATTTGGAGGATGTAGAGTATCTTAAACCGGCAAAGTATGGGTGAACTTCTTTTGAGTAAGAAGAAGGAGTGTGTTTAAATTTCCAAATCTCTTTATAGATCAAAATTAATTTCTGGAGAGAATCTAACATTTCAGATACAACAGATCAGTTATTTTAAGTATGAGTTGCTTTTATGATACCTAGTAGGCTTTTACCTCATGATAAACCTATGGTTACATAATTCAATGTGATTAAATTAAGAAAACTGGGGTGAGAACTTTGTGTTCTTTACCAGTGGTAAAAAAAAAATATTATTCTTCAATGGAAACACTGATCTCCACTTCAAATCCTAACTAATCCAAGTCGATCCAACACCATAACCAGAGACATTGATCAGTGACTCATTAAACTAACGCACCAACAAAACAAACATTCAACCTGGGATCCAAATTCCTCACAAGACTGTCAGATATGTTAGAAACTTTTCCAGAGAAATAACTTTCCAAAGCCTTCTAAAGAAATTCATGCACCAATCCAACATTTTCCTTCCCGACACAGTTTCAGATACTACAGCTCAGAGTATCTATTAAAACTGTGTCCTGATCCCTTATCAATGCTCTCTTTCTCTCTAATTCAAAGTCTTTTTACCTCAGTGGGTGGAACTCACTGGAACATGCTGTGGCACCAAAAACACAGACACTGTATTTAATACAGATCAATACAGGCCGATACCCGACTGGCTTCATAAAGTTTTTATTTGTGCTGATAAATCTGATTGGTGGATCCCCAACAACGTATCTTTAAAGGAAAAAGTAGGTTGTACATTGCACTATACTCACTCCTGACTCCTGAGGGGGAGTCAAGAGAAATGACACATATGTTTTATTGTCTGAGAATGCAGAAAACAGACTGATACAGCTCACAATGTATTTTCATGTCAGTTAAAGGAGAGCCATATGCTACAAACATACACTGATACTCTCACCTGTCCTGGAGTCTCATTGGGGTGCTCCCCTCTGTCTTGACCGTTCGTGTCATGCTGGGTGCAGGCGTCGAGGGAAGAGGCGGGGGAGACTCCGAGGCTCTGTTTGGAGGTAGTCCATTGGCTGGTAACAGGCCCTTCTGGTCTCCTTTGGCGTCGTACTCAAAAGTGCGTTTGGGTTTAGGTAATGGGTTGACTGGTGTGCCTACGGGGGTCTGTTGGCTGGGTGGTTCTGGGCTCTCAGACCTGACTGAGCTCACACTAAACCTTTGTCGGAGTTTCGAGAGCTTATCAGACACCAAAACAGCATCTGGTTCAGTGGCAACTGAGCAAATGCTGCTGCGCTTACTGGTGCATGTACTGTCAAAGTCATCTCCAATCACAAAAGACTTTTGTCTTGTCTTGTCTGGAGCATAGCAATTACTCAGGTAACGTGGAGGGGATGGGTTTGGATTCTCCTTCAGGGCTTGCTCTATCTTTTGTATCCTGTTGAGGACTGCTGATGTCTCCTTCCGAGCAGACAGGGAACGTACAAATGTTCCCGAGGACTCGGGCTTGTTCATCCTTTTCTGAAAACGACCTACGCCGTCTTTCTCTGAAACTCCTTCCTCTTCCTCTGTGTAGGAGCATTCTGAGAAAGCCGTGCTCATCCTGCGAATCCCCTTAAAGTCAAAAGTTTTCTCGCTACACGGAGAAGAGAGCAGGCTGGGGCAGCCCTCACTGCCCCCTACACGCTCTGCTCCTCTTTTATCTAGACACAAGCTCATCCTAGGCAGAGCCACCCTTCTGCACTCCCATTCTGAGATCTTCTTGCGGATTGTGGTGGGGGGAACACCTGCTACTGAGCGGGTGAGTGAGAGGGTGCGTTTGTGGCTTTGGTTAGAGGAAGGTCCCAGTGACAGCGTGCTCCAACTCAAGGGCCGACCATTGAGTCCATCTCCCGGAGAGAGATCCCCTTGTTTCTCCTTTTGCTCCTGACTTTCCTGACAGAACTTGGGTTGAGCTTGGGGCTTATAGATGGAGAGCCTATTGTCCAGGCAGCTGATGCTTTTTGCCTTTGTGAGACGGCCTTGGGAGTCAGTGTCACCTGTGAGAGATGCACTACCGCACAGGCTGGTGGCCTTGCTGCTCCAGCCAGCACGTACCAGGAACCTGCCGTCGGTCCTGACGTACCTGCTCTGCCTCCCTGCTTCACTGTCGCTGAGGAGAGGCTGCTGGCTCTGCCCCTGAATGGCAGAGAGAACAGGACACGGGGATGTAGACTGGCACCTAAAACAAGAAAGATAAGGGTGTGAACTAACTCTGTAAACATTTAAATGTTTCTCTGAAAAAAAAAAAAACACATTTCAGCCTAAAATATATTAATAAACCAACAGAGGCAAATCATAGGAACTGCCAATAAATCCACTCAACCCTGGAGCATGAAAAGTACCAGAAACTCGATGTGGAACAGATGGAAGAAAACTGTAAAGAATCAGTTGAAAATTCTGAATTAATTTCAAAGATCAAAGTCAGAACGAAAACCTGAGCCACTTATTTAGAATAACCACAGGAAAGTATTCTGTCTTTGGCAGCATGAGATTAAAATAAAGGCCAAAGGAAATATAGACTACATTAAAATGCCACTGTGTATTTTTCCACATAATCAAAATAACTTGAGGAGAGTATTGGTGGACCTCACACAGAAAGCGGCATGCCAAGCAAGATTTATTACAGCAGTCCTACCTGTGAAAGTCTCTCTGCTTCTCTCTGGTCCTTAAAGTCTTTTCTGATCCTTGCAGCTAAGTGAAACTAGGTGCTACAGTAGTCCAACGCTCACACTGTACCATCTCTCACCACACACACACACACACGCAATTTCCCACGGGGCTCACTTCATTTAAGATTTCCACAGAGAATCAAAGTCTCCCTGAAAGTCCCTGACACCATACTACTCGCAGTCTCTCAGGAACCTTGTCATGACTTGGAGGATAGCTGAAGGAAGTCTTGCGAAAGTGAAGTGTTGGGAGATCTGATGTCACAGCCACGGTTAGAATAACAAGCTATGGGAGGAGGAAGCTGAGGGCTGTAGACTGTGATCCAACAATGCAGGTTGGGACAGATCGCCCTTCACACCTTTCTGCCCTTCCCTGATTTCATTCTTCCTGCTCCAGGGTGGGGAGAGCATGATGGATGCATTTTATCTTACTTTCCTTGAGGAAATAAGAGAATTTTAGAAAATGGCTCGTCTGGAGATTTGTACTGCTAGTTTTTAGTATTCTGAAATACAACAAATAGATCCTTAAGCACACAATATGTTGGATAATGTGATTTAGAAGAGTGATATATGAACTGAGCAGACAGAAAAAGATTTGCCCCAGCTTAGTTAACAAGGAATTACTGAATGTGATACAGCAGTTCTTACGAACCAGGTCCCACCGTGGTTTTATCGACTGACATTAACTCTGTGGGTATGTCAGAAACACTGACAGTTCTGCTTTTGCCACTTATTCTTAAGTTAAACAAAATGCATCCAGTTCCTAAGTTAGATGGATTTTCGTCATTAATTTCTTTGTAATATCATCCTTCCAGAAGAATGTTCTCCCTATTTAGCATTTATAAGCAGCATATTTACATTTAAAACAGGGTTTATAATGTAGTTGTAAGCCAATATAAGGACATTTTTCAGTGTTTGATAATGTACAGTTTTTTTCTTCAATTATAACTTTTTCATTTTATTTATTATCACAACTGTGTTTACTATATTGTCATTTATTATCTGTTAGCCTCTACCTATGGGTGCACACAGGAGAGGTTAAACTTGTTGTTGATAAATATATTAATAAAAATGAATATCAGCTTATAACCCCATTATAGCATGTTATAAATAATTAATTCAATATTTTTATTCTGCTTATAAATGCAAAATAGGGGGACCCTCAAGGTAAAGTGATGCTGACATTCTAGTACAAACTCTAAATCATCATTTAATGAGCAAAAAAACATGAAATGGACTTCCAGTTCAGTTTTACCTAAATCACATAACAAACAAAGCCTTTTTTCGTCATTAAACCTGCCTGTTTCTAGAGTTACTACAGCTACATAAAGCTCTACACTGTAGCTGATTTTCATGAGACAACACTGCATGTTTGCAATTCAGATTTCTGTCAAACATTAACAGATTATCTTTCCTTTGCTATGAATAAATTGAGCTCTGATTATTAACGTAAACATATACTAACTGGAGCTTGAAAAGAGCTCAAGATAAACTCTCAGGTGAAATGTCAGCCTACAACCAGTCAAACAGGCCATATGGTTTAATGAAGAAAATACTTATTGAGCACAGTAACAATCTCGGGCAGCAGTCCAACACATGACATGTTGCAGTGGTTCAGCAGGGAGCTATTAGAACATGTCTCACAAATTAAAATTGTTCTGGTTCCCTGGTAAAACTCTGAACAAAGCTTCTGCCAAAGATCATGGCTAATGCAGGAAGCCAGAGAGAGCGCAGTGTCTCTGAAGCTTAATATAAATGGGAATGTTTTAGTAGCAACCAGACCAAACATTCAGAGAATGCAATTCTAATGCCAGTAACAGTACAGTTTATTGAGTTGATCACAACAGTTTAAATTGTTGCTTTATGGTTTGATGGCTTCTGGGGTTTTACATTTTTTTTCTAATTTCACAATTAAAACAGATTCAATTCAGCACTGTCTCCACGCTATAATTTCGCCCATGTGACAGTAAATAATCTATAATATGATGATATGGAAGAAATGATTCAAACAGGCTTCATGTTGTGCCGTGTGAATGTTTCAAAGAGACTGCATCTATGCTTATATAAATACTAAGTGCACTATATTCTAGTAGTGTATTCAGTCTGAGATGCTGATTTGGTGTTTTTATTATTTTTTAAGTTATTTTTGTTTGGGCTTTTCATGCCTTTATTAGATAGGGACAGCTGAGGATAGACAGGAAAGGGGGCAGAGAGAGGGAATGACACACACCAAAGGGCCGCAGGTCGGATTCAAACCCGGGCCACTGCAGCAACTCCGTATATGGGTCACCAGCTCTCCCGACTGAGCTAACTGGGCGCCCCACTGTACCTACATTTTATCTGTTTACATAGCAGCAGATTGCAAAACTAAAATCAGCAACAGAATAAGACTGATTTTAGAATATTATGGTTGTATTTAATCTAAGATAAAATATACTGTAAAATAAAATGTAGACTGCAGTATGAAGACACAAAAAGAAAATATGTGCAGATATTTAGTCTATTTAGGGTTTGGGGACTTTTACGGGGTTCGGGTGTATCATGCTTGTAAAAATAAGCCCAGTTTAGTCAGCTTCAGATGGACTGGCCACACAGAAAGTACTGTACCAAGTGCTGGGTGCCAGTCACAACCTGGCCTCTGGCTTTCACTCAGGCTTCCAGGGCATGCTAACCACAAGCCACTTCCTGTTACTGACCAGGATGGAGGGCGCAGACTGCTCCCTCAAACAGCACTTCTGCTATTATAGTTCCACACATGTAAACTTTATCATCCATCAGCACTTTTTATTTCCTTTTTTTGTCATTCTTTTATGCATTATCATATATAAAACTCTAATCCAACACATATTTTAAATGTTAATTAGCTCACACATCAGTAAATAACACACATTCAGTGAATGTGCCTTCCTGGATGTACAAAACACTAGTCACAGTAGTGTGAGCTCTCACTCTCACAGCCTTGTCAGCATGTTTTGTGTTGCCAAAACACCTCTCTGGATTGCTTTTGAAGTTACATGTAATTTTCGAATTGCAGGACATTCATTCAACTTCAAGTATAACATCAGAAAATTGGCAGGGAAGCGCCTGTATTTTGTCCATTTCCAATTATTCCCTCAGAGAAGATCACAGAACAAGGCTCGAGCACATGCACAGAAGGTTTTTCTGTTGGCTTAGTTTTGTTTTTTTCCACCACAAAGCTGCATGTGTGCCTCTCGAGGCTACACAGTTCATTTTAGTTGTAATTTGTCCTAGAAACTGATCCCTGGTTGATTTCATAGTTTGGGGGAATGTATTGTGTAGCATTATCCAACACAACTAATCCCTCTCCATCTGTTAAAACATGGAGCTGCAAAGCATCTTTGAATATGATCTTTAAGAATCTAGGGTAAAATGAGCCCATGAGGACAGCAAGCTGTTCATGAGACTCTGCTGCAATGACAATTAAATTTATCAAAAGAGGGTGAGGTTAAATGCATAATTATTACGTCGGAGGAATGCAGCCACTGTTACTGTGATTAGTGTTTCCCTCACTTTTACATTCACAGAGTTTACCTTGGGAATAGTGTACGTTTGACAACTCTGTGGTAAATGTGCACATTTACCAGCAAATGAATGCCATTTATCTACATCATAATATTAACATTATGATTAACATTTGTGTGGTTTGCCACTTCCAGTAGGCCTAATTTACACCACAAGCAATTACAGAAACCAGCTGCCACAGGTTTTTTTACTATGTAAGAAATATTGAGTGTGTTTACCACTGCCGCCTCATCAGCAACCAAAAATAAGAAAGGAATCAATGAGCAACATTGCCAGTCAAACAGTAGTGTTACTATATATTATAATACCGATAGCAGCACCATTGCTAACAATCATCTTGTCATATCAGACCATCAGAAGGTGGTGTGACAGCATGAACAGAGACTACATTTCACATGATCATGTGTAACTACTGTATATGAGATGAGACCAAATCTTTTTTCTTTTTTTTTTTACCAGTCTGCCTGTTTCGACTTTTTAAGAAACTTTTGAGCTTTTTAAAATTGGACAGGATACTAAACTGTAAGATTGAATAGTCGAGATATCACATATCATTACCAAAGTTTGTTTTTCTCTCCCAGCAGGACATTGTAAGCTCTCAACATGCTAACACAAGCTTCAGCTCACTACTCACAGTTCAGAGTGGGATGGGGCCCTTGTCCAGGATACAGGATCGTACTTGCAAAAGCTTTGGGAGTCTTATCATGACTGACAATCATTGGTGGTTATTTCCCATAAGTGAATAAGAAAGGGAAAACAACCACAGACTGATTGTAGGTGGCATTGTGGGGAAAAATTACTCAAGTGAGAAGTACAGCACTTGTACATGAACCAGCCCCCCTCTGCCCCAGATGTCACTGACCTGTCAGGGACTTCCCGGGGAGCTTTACCCCCTCCTGCACGAGGCACAGCCTTCGAACTCTTGTTGGCAGTCATGTTTGTCTGCAAACAGCCCACTGACCTGATGGACAAACACAAGGACTTGAAACATTCAATAAGCTGCAGCATTCCACATATTTCAGTAAGCAAAAACACAGGTTGTGTGAGTTTATCAATTAGTTTTATTAAGAATCTGGACTGCAAATTAACACTATTACTAAAATAGTATACAGAATAAGACTTAGTAGATTCACAAAAGGTTCCAATCCTTCATGAACACAGAGTTTAATCCAGTACCACAAAAAAAAAAACCAAGATGGCCAACACTCCTGAGACCATTCTTGTAAGGTTTAATGTTGGTCTGACACTGCTTCACTTTGGCATTAAAGGGTGAACACAGGTTCCAACAATAACAATAACAATTTATAGGAAACCGTGGATAAAGGATTACTATAACCCTATCGTCCATAGTAGCTTGACTTGATACAAGTTCTAACACTCTAAGTTCGACCTTTCTCAATCACAGATTAACACGACAGTAGAGGGGCCGTTTAGTTATTGCACTTGACAATGTTTCATAAGGAAAGCTAATAAAAAATCTGACAAAGTGGGGTCACTTCACCACAAATGCCATGTTGAATCTTCAGGGCAAACATTGCAGACGTATTTTCAACAGACCAAAGGCAAGTAGCATAACTAACACAGCATGTAGACAGTGTTGTGCCAGAGAAACTCGAGTGCTCCAGGCACAGCTATTCCTCCACTTAAAAAAATGTCTATTTTAACATCAAATAACAAAGAGCTACATTGCTGCCACTAAAACAGCTCCACTGAAAATATTTAAAGGTCCTGATCCACATTTGGATCATAGCCAAAGGGAAACTTTGGAAAAAAGCCATTAATCACGTGGCTGCAACCTCGTTGCTGGTTTTGTAAAGTATAAACTGAGAGAATACAGCGTTATAATTAACCAGTGTGATGAGACATTAAGGTTTTGTAGGCATTTTGCAGCTACCTAGTGTTTGTTGTGCATGATTTAATCAAAGTCACCACAATGGATCCTCATGTGTGTCTGCACTTCAGCACATGTTAATTACAGAAGCTGCCTTCAGGTGGCTGCAGATAATTAACCGAAGGCTTTTTCACAGTCTAAAAGCAGCGGTGGATAACAGAGACTGCAATAGTCTCATTAAAATGTTCAAAATCACAACAACTCATTATCTTACTGATATATACTACAGCCCGACAATACTGAATCTTTGAGGCCGATACAGATATGAAGATACTTTCTAAATTACCACAATCCTATCTTTGGCATTTCTGTATTGTAGTTTCTTTTTACTTAGCAGTTGACATACCAACATATCTATAAGCTAATGCTTGATAATACCTCAGCCCGGCCCATTTATTGGTCTAGCTCTAATATCCAGCCATGCAGATAGTTTTAAAGATTTAGAGATAGTTCTTGATAGTAGAAAAGCACTACATGAAAAGTCTTAACAGCAGAAAAACTGTTAAGACATCTTCCTTAAAATAAACATTTCCTGGACTTAATCTCAAATTAGACCAGCGGTTAGATAAACCCTCCCTTCAAACTGCAGGTCATTGCCCCTGAAAATCACTTTTTTGAAATGCAGCATTGACCCTTTCAATAAGGCTCAAAGCGATTGTTCTGGTACATAAGGAGGTCAAATGGAGATCCCTAGACATCAGAGGTGGAGGATGGGAGGGTGCTTGGCAGCATGACTTGTTTACAGGAAGTTGTTGTATGAAGAAGGCAGCCAACCAGTAGTGGAGCTGTGTCCTATAGAGACAGATGAGGAGAGAGAGGGGGCATTCCTGCTGTCAGCTATTTCCTGTAACTGTGGACTGTGCTAAGAGGACGGGCAATGCATCATTATTTTCATCAGACTCAAAGAATGATGTTGTCCTGTCCCGCTTTACAACTCTCCAGTACAGTTGTTACTCTGTGAACTATAAAACATTACACACTTTTAAAGAAAACTGGCACAAAATAGGACATGAACGCCAGGAACCTATGTTTCCTGTGATACAACACAGTACTGCAGGATTCAACAATGGAATTTAAACATAAAAGAGTACAGACATACATTAACCAGAGTGTGCAGGTGAGTCAGGGAGAGCTGCTTATCAAGCAACACAACCACATTTGAGACAATGAATATTGATTACAGACAATTGTCCTGTGAAAACACACTTTTTAGATAAACAAATGGAAAACCAAAGAAAAAGGAAACTGAGACAAAAATAAAAAGAACTTGAGAAACACACTCTTCCAAATTACTCTGAATTAAACCAAATGAAAATATTCTGCTTACATAAAATTCAGACACACAGACGGCTGTGTAAACTGTTACTTCTAATTAACACCTGCTGAAACAATATAGTATGGTTTTTGGAAGTGACATTCAATATTCTGTCTGACTCTCTCTCTCTCTGATTGAAAACATGAAGTTTCTGTCATTTCAATTTGTAACACCTCAAAGCAAACATACAACAATTAGAGAAAAGGCTGCCATCGGCTGCCAGGAGTGAAGAAAATTAAACTGTTAACATTGTAAATTATGTCAGCTCCAGACATCTCAGTTATATTAAGTTGAGAACGATGTTTATTTATATAAACTCACGATTTTCTATGTTTTGGACTGAGAGAGCTACAATCACAGAAATGGGTCACAGAAGCCCAAGATGGACTTTGCAGTGTAAACACCAAGGCGTTAGCTTACTGACTTCCTGAGGTCTGATACAATCTCCCTACACAAAATCACAGGCTGTAAACAACCACTTCTAAGAAAGCTCCAGAGTACCTTTAGAGTGCATTCAACCAGATTCAACACAAATTTTCTCCTGAGATGTCAGAGCCAAAGGCATTTTAACAGGAGGCATTTCTACAGTCACTACTGGCAGGGCATGAAAAGACAATCTATGTTGCACACTTTGGCCTGAGGGTGTTATTCAAGACATTAGATTGCTGAAGAGTTTGTTGCTGTTTGTGCCAAATACAATATTTCACTGGAAAATGCTGCGAAATGTTTTTACTTTCCCAAACATGTACGTGTAAGCTTCACAATATCTTCCAGGATACAAACTAGGGCTGCCCCCCCCCCATTAGTTGACTTAATCATTACTTGTTGAGAAGAGTCTTAGTTGACCCACTTTCTTTTCATCAGTTGGATAGTTGCATAAAAACAAAAACAATGCCAAACTCTGTTCGGGACCTTTTCTCTTGTAACACAGGAAGCCGCCTGCTGTTGCATTGCTGCATATGTTAACTATACCAGCTGCTGCCACCAGTTAGTTAGAGGTCCTATTAGCTCAGTACCCGGACTGGGAGCTTCATTATCATTTAACAGGCGGCTATTAAAATATATATATTTAAATAATTACATTATCATCATAAACTTGTTACAACTAGTCGACTATTATACTGTGCTTTATTTTAAGACTACTAGTTGACTAGGATAACCTTTAGTCGGGGGCAACCCTGATAAAAACCTTTAGTTTTAGACAGGTGAATTTCAACCAATCAGATCAATGAACCATGTAACGTAGTCAAATTCATATCAAAGCCAGTCGGGAGAAGAGCAAAAACATCTTTTCCATCAAGCCTTTAGTGTTGTTCTCTGCTCTTCTTTCAATGAAGAAAAACTCTCCAGTTTTGATTGTAGCAGCATCTACACTGACCTCTTTAGCAGGTGTCATTCTTGTTTCAGAGCAAACTGTCGTTTCTCACACACGTCACCACACAATGTTATAATAATTATATTACAATATCTAACACAATTGCTCCATTATTAATATATCTGGTGGCATCTTGACAGGATACGCAACTTTTCTATTTTACACTCAGAAAAAACAGCAATTCTTAACAACAAATCACACATCAGCACTTCCCTGCTACTGTACTGTAGTTTGACTGGCCTAGTACTTCTTAAAGCTTTGTCAAACAAGACATTCAGCCTCAGAGAAGTTAAAAGTTCTCTTTCCCTACTTTTATTGCCTATATTTGTAGCAGAGAGATGAAAAACGGCACATATGAATTTGTCGGCTACTGACTTAAAAGTCCCAAAAAGCCAAGCTGTCCCTTTAAGACATTCAACACCATCATTTTAATGACCTAGCTTAGCCATTTCAGGGTTTTTCCTGGTTTTGTCATGTTCATGTCTAGAAGTACTAATTGATTACATGAGAGACATATCAATGACGCATATTTTCCTCAGCAACAAGAGCATATTCATGAAATGGAACTACAACAGTGTCTCCATTAGACTATTTGGGCTGGAATAAAAGAGCCCTTTGTGTTCAATACGTCCTTGAGAGGGAGATGTGGTTAAAAAGTAAGTCTTTTATCAGCTGTGTGTGTGTGTGTGTGTGTGTGTGTGTGTGTGTGTGTGTGTGTGTGTGTGTGTGTGTGTGTGTGTGTGTGTGTGTGTGTGTGATTGAAAGAGACAGACTCTATTAGGTAAAATATCTTTCAAAAGAGAGTCCACATGTCCTTGGCCCTGTCACATTTGACAGATCATCTGATACACAGTTCCCTCCACTCCATACAGGAATGTACTAATATTTGCCCAATCCATCAGGCCGCGGCTGCATTCAAAATATTAAAGAACGTTTTCGGAGGGTGAAAGAAAGCAGGGGAGAGGGGCAGAAACACCTGGACTTGATGCCAAGAGGTTCTTTTTCATTCAATAAAGACTAAACTATGCACTCTCTCAGCACTTTGCACTTGATGTTCAGACTACAAGAGCGCAAGTTTATGTAACAATTTTATGACGTCATGATGGGACAAACTTTCATTAACCTGCAATTGGGTTCAGTTTAAGATCTTTGTTTATCCTGAAACATGCAGTAGCCAACACAACAGCGTCTCTTGTTACTCAGCTTTTTTTCTGGCTGACCTGGTCCTCAGTTTCTGCTGATCAGCAACCTGACTTCAAGGTTTTTTAAAACCACAAACAGAGTTTTACAGGCAGCCAAAAAGCAATGGGGAAAGTAAAAGTGAAAATCTCTGCAAATTCTCAACTCCTTCCAGACGTCACAACTAGCTGGCAAACATGAGCCCACACACTGATCCACGCCATTGTTTCAATATCTGCAGAAAGACCAGTTTTGTCCACCATAGACAAAAAGAGACTTGAGCTGTTTGAGTCGTATCATGATAAACTGAGCATTGTGGGAGACGAGTTGCATAAATATCCTGGTAGAAGGGAATCCAGCTCTTGATACTCAACTCCAGATAATACAGTCCACATTAAAGCATTCATAACACACGTCTGAATTGTACACGTGAGGTGTACACAAATACAACCTTGTGTTGCAGGCCAAACATGACAGGGAAAAAAACTCTCAGCTGACACTTAAAGATTGATGTATTATACTCTGGATGTATACTCTATACATAACCTGCTTCTCTGCAGAGCAGTTTAAGCCTCTGACAGCCTCAATGTGTCTCTAGTAAAGGAAAACCACCAAGGCTGATGCTACTGGCAGTTGCACATAGCCATACCTATGTAATTACCCCATCCTATACCACATGGTTCACCATGCTGCCACTATGTAGCTCAATAGACCAGGTGGAACCAATTCTTGGAATCTTTTTTTATCTCCTTTTTCAGCCATTTCAGCTTTTTTTTTTCAGAGTAATCATGGCATATTTTCTCTTTGTGGAAGAGGAAAAACCCTTCTGTGTAACCTAGATATGAGCATGCACAGCTGCAGAGGCAGGCATGTGGAAAACGGGTTTATATCCATCTGAGCTACAGCAGGGGGGCTAGAATTTGTGTCACAGAGCTGACCTCTGACACAGAGTCTTTGACTTTTACAAGGACATGAAGTAGATAAAATTCTTGTTAGCCTCTGTCTCTCTTAAAGTCTAAAGAGTTTAGCTAAGCAAACAAAACTAATGATAATTTGTACATCAGCTGTGTTGTTACTGATTTTCTCTGTTCAAAGGTAAGCACAAGGACCTGCAATGTCATCACATATTCAAAAATAAATTTCCATCAGTGTTTTGTAAAACCTCGACCCAACTTAAAATCACTCGTTGTTGCTTTACTTTGACCATTAAGGTGATCTTTACATTCAAGTAGTTTAAGTTTAATAGTAAACTTTAGTTAACCCAAGAAAAGGCAGTAAGGAAACACTTGATATATGAGCTGTATGTGTTTACGTCAAGTGACCTATTTTGTCACTCAGACAATGATAAGAAAAAACAAATGACAGGATACTAACTTCAGACTGACCTCTGGCTTTCAGTACTCACATTATCATTAATATTCTTGACACAAGTAGTCAGTAAATTAATTAAGATAACTAGAAGTGATCTCATTAGGGAAACCATCATGTATATGATGACAAAGTTAGATAAGAAACAGCTTCAGTTCCCTTTAAATGATCTGAAAGGTGTGTTGATTAATGGCACTATGGAAATTACACTCCAAGACAAAGCCACTTGCAATTTATTATAGACTATATGTTCTACTTTATCAAGAGGATTTACAAATTGCAGGCTTTAAGATGTACCATTTATTCTGAATATCAACCGGTTCTGACAAGTGTTTATGAGCTGAGAGGTTCACAAACACAGCTGACAGTGTTTGCATCATCATCAGACATTAAAGCTGATGGTGACCTGCTGGTGTCTGAACAAGGAGTGTTAGATGAAACTAACATCCTAAATAAAGGAAGGCAGGACATCTCGTAATGTTGACATGTTGATGTCATATTACGGTGACATGGTTTGCAGAGTTAGTCTGCACGTGCACACCTCACTGAATGTACATGAAGAGAACTAGTTATGATGTGACATTGTGGCTGCTGGCTTATCATTAGTATACGATAAACTTAAAGAATTGCCAATGAAGAGATGCCACCATCGCAACTTAAATTACAGTGTAGGATGCTATAGTGTGTGTATAAGTGTCAGGATCAGAGGCTGTAAACCTAGTATTAGAAGTGAGGGATATATCAGTGTTGTCATTGAAGTGTTCAACAATAATTGACACTGACAGACAACAGAGCAAACTAAGAGACAGCCTCTCACAATCTCATCAAATAAGTCAAACATGTCTTTCAAGATAAAAAAAAACAGTGGAATAACAAAAACAGCAACACAGGAGACATTTCTTTTCTGTCATTTCTGCATTACAACGCAGACTGACAAACTCGAAATAGATTTAAGTCGATCCAAAGTCTTACTTCCAACTGTGCCACAAAACAACCACACACAACAGCCCAGGCACTCGTAGCTTAAGTTACAAATATAACTTAACATCAGTCATGAGGGGCAATGAAAAGTGGAAGTATTTTCTTCTCTAAAGAAGCGTTCTCTCTGAGTTCGGTTCAGCTTGGGGGTAAAGTTAAGGGATTGTGGTCTTGTGACCTGAACAACACTCGAATAGATAGGAGTAGGTGACATGTTACTTAAATAACTGGTCCACTCATTTCATACTGGATTCAATATTTTGCCAACACTTCTGTGAAAAGTTTTATAGTTTGCTGACATTTCTTGCTTTATAGATTTCAATGTACGTACTAATAACACTTTTCTATCAGAGATAATCAGACGTACTTTTACTCTGACTTGAAGCGCTGTTTACACATTTTGAAAGTGACTTTAGGTTTAGAGCCCTCGACTGTGGCCCCAATACAACACACTGTACACGTGTAGAAGGATAAAACTGTGGATTATTGTGAGTTTAACATGCAAAGAGACACAGTGTTTTATGCATTTAAGATCCTCGCACCATCTTGATGGATAAACAGAGACCAGGAAAAAGTAAAATCAGTTTCATTGTGATGTTGAGTGAACAACAAGCCCTTTAAAAGTGTGCGGCGATAGGCCAGACTCACTCCTGTTAAACTGAATGGAGAACAGAGAAGAATTTCCTCAATAGCTTTGTGTTGACAGTCCCGTCCAGTGAGAGGGGAAGGTCATTGTTTGATCTGAACAATAGAAAGCGTTTAAGGAAAAAAAAAGAAGGAAAAAAGGCTAAAGAAAACCAGCCATGTCTCCAGAGTTTGTATTATAGTGTATACGATAAGATCATAAGGATTTAAGCTGTAATCTCTTAAGAAAACTCCCATAAACATTCACGATAGAGCCATAACCTCCCATATTTAAACTAGAACACACTCAGTGAGAGCATGTCTGTGCTGTGTGGCTCTAAAGGTGTGAAGGTGACATTTCTTTAGAGTCTGGATCTGCACCAAGGTCACATAAAAAAATCAGGTGTAACATGAACCAACTTCTTTCACTCAAGAAAGCAGAAACGAGACGAGAAAATTTAAAAATGCAAATATTTCAGTCTTGGAAAATCAGTTTAGAAATAGTTTTATCTGCATCTGCACCAAAAACCAATCACTTGTCGCTCAGCCCCATGGCTTAAAGCAGCAGCTGCACAAAATATTTAAATAATAAATAACTTCTAGTTTAAATTATAGCCTCCTAACAAACATTTATGAGGGTAAAACAAATAATTACACAAGCATGTTGTGATAAAACATGAACAAACTATGTGCATTTTGAATTACATAATTATTGCCATTTAAGATTACAACATTAAACCTTTACTCATTTGAACACACATAATGTCAAATAGAGTCTGTATGTCTGTACTACCCAGTTACATACAGCATTAACACAAAGAAAACCTGCATATGTACAATTATTGTATAGAATCTGAATAAACTATGATCATAAGTGTGTAAGACAAACACATTTAAAGCTCATACATGTTGTTTCATGTGGGTTTGATCTCCCAAGAACCAAAGAAAATGTCCAGACTACAACAAGTCCACAGTGAGGTCTGATCCGGAGTCCTGTGCTCTTTCTGTTTATCTGCTGATTGACTCTTTTTGTTTTTTTAGGGGGGGTCGGGATGTTTAAGCCATAACTTTGGTGTAATTACAATCCACAGAGTTACTGCTTGTATCCGCTGGGACATTTTTATTTTCTTCATTCAAAGGGTCAGCTGAAGAAAAAGACAAACACACACACACACACACACACACACACACACACACACACACACAGTCCGGTGTGTTTTTTAGCCTCCTTACTGCACTTCATCGTTACATGTCGATGACCAAATATGGTCACATGGAGATTACATTTAAACGCACCTTGCAACTTTGTTTTTTTATTTAACACCTTAAACACAACTTTTTAATACTTTTCTCCCCCCTCCTCTTCCTCCACCCCCACCTCCTCCTCCTTTCCTACCCCGGCTGCTGAGAGTTTTAACCCTCCTGTATTTGTTAGTTCGTCAATAACGGTTCAGGCGGCTTGTTACCTCCGACTTTCTCCTCACATCCATGGCTGCTGACACTTTATAATCCCTCTGCGACGGCGCAAATCCCGGTTTGTTTTTTTTTTTCTTTTTACGCGTTGAAAAACTTTTGGCCGGTTTACCTGCCCCTCTTCAATAAAAAACCTCCCGACTTATGTCTTTCCAAGGAAAACCGACAAAAAGGAAAGAAAAAAAAAAAAAAAAACACCCTCCTGCCTCCCCTCTCACAGCCTGCTGCACAGTGGAAGGCAGGACTTGTCACCATGGGAACGGGTTGTTTGCCCCCCACTTTTTTCCTCGGGATTTGCCCTCCTCAGCCAGCCAGGCATTCAAGCCTCTCTCTCTCTCTCTCTCTCTCTCTCTCTCTCTCTCTCTCTCTCTCTCTCTCTCTCTTTCTCCCTCCCTTGTTTATTGTCACGGTGGGCCGAGGAGTGTGGATGAATATTCACGAGTTGAAGGCTGCTGCTGATGGGATGAAAAACTCCCATGTTGCCTTGCCAGCATTGCAACACATTGTCATGCTGAAGCCCTCCACTGGGCCCACTGGTCAATAGGAATACATTTCACCCACACAAAGATGTCTTTCATTTGTCACAGATGAATGTGCAACCATAGCTTTGCACGGTGAACGGAGACGCCGAGTTTTGAAGCTACATGTTACACGAAGTTAATCTGGAACAGTAAAAGTACTGCATTCAAAATTAATGTGAAACTGTAACTCAAAACTAAAGTATTATGCAGTAAAATGGCTCCTCTCAGTGTTATATTATTGTATATAACATTATAGAAGCAGTATTTTAATCGTGTCACTGAAGTTTGAATGTAAAATCTTAGAAAAGTTATATAAAAGTACACATTTCCCTCTAAAATGTAGTTAAGTAAAAACTAAATGTGCCTTTAAAATTAGATTAAGAAAAGTACTTTTTAATTTTACATTCAACATACAGTTTAGCATGATAAATACTTGTACACGATGTAAAGTACTAATTATGCAGCGTAGTTGCATGTGTCAGTGATAAATTATTATAAATATGATATTTTTGTATTACTTTTACTGTAATATTTACATTTTAATGTTGTAGCTGGTTGAGAGGGTAGTTTAATCTTTAATATTTGTGTTAGAAGTCTTTACTGCTAAGCATAGTACTAGACATGTCTCAAGTTTAGACCTGTGGTTCAGCTCCAAAGCAATGTGACTGTATAATATGTTGAGAGATATGTAATAGTGGAATGTGAGACTCATTTACTAAATTACTGTAATTTAACACCAGGCTGAAAAAGTAGAAGTGTAAAAGGACATGAAATGGTAATATTTAAGGACCGACGTGTATGATTTAGTGGCATCTAGAGGTGTAGTTGCAGATTGCGACCGCCTCACTTCACCCTCCCCTTCCAAGCCGGCCCTATTTAGAAGCAGTATTTAGTTTGTTCATTCTGGGCTACTGGAGAAACATGGTGGTTCAACATGGCGACCTCCTTGTAAGTAGACCCACAGAGTTTGTAGATACAGACCGCTCATTCAAAGGTAACAAAAACACAACAATTCCTATATTCAGGTGATTATACTCAATTAAAAATGTACTTATGCATATTATATTCAATTTCTGCCAACAGATCTTCCTAACTGTCACACACTGGACCTTTAAAGAGAAGTAGCACTCCCTGAAAGTGATGTAGAGGTGTACTACAGGACCCCATGACATCACCTGTGAGTGTGGTTACAGGTGCACAAAATCCGACAGGAGACAACCGACCACAAGCATCAGTGATGTTGGTTGTAGTCAGAGGGGGGCAGAGTGAAACACTGCTTTTCAGCCTGGTGTTAAATTACTCTTTAAGTACAGTAATTTAGTAAATGCGTCTCACATTCCACTATTACATATCTCTCAACATATTATACAGTCACATTGCTTTGGAGCTGAACCACAGGTCTAAACTTGAGTTGACCACAAAAATGAAAATATTCACCCAAAATGTAATATCCCCCCGCTAGGTTTGAGTTAAATCCAACCAAATTAAACCACTTAACTCTGTCTGTGCTGCGGTTCTGGAGCATTCACTGACAAAAAAAAAAAAGGGGGGCATCTTTGTAATGTCAGACTGAGAACTGTGCATGTTAATTTAACCAGACAACAACACAATGAGGAAAGCCACATGAATTCCAAACTTGTACAGTATGCTTTTTATTGGTCAAGCGGTCACTAGCCATTGAAAGGTATTCATCTGTTCGCTATAAAATATAAGGAAGTGAGTCAAGTTTCTTTACGTACACAGTAACTCACAATAAGACATTAACAATATACATACAAGAGAAACAACTGTATTACATGACAGGGCTAAACTAACCCCAAACGTCACGATATCGAACGTGAACTCCTTTATCTTTCTGTGCTGCTGCTGAGACATGTAACATCTTTACACCAAATGTCAAAGAAGCGCTACCCATCCATAAAACCTGCTCCTTGCAGTCTCTCTGGGTTCCCTATCAACCCAGAGACTTGGGAAGAGAGGAAGTCACAAAGACCCAGACATCCGTCATCACAGTTCGTAACATCAAGTCAGCAGGAAGCCTCCAGAGCTCTGCCACTGTGCAGCTTTTCTCAGAGACCCAATCAAAAGACCCTCTCTCAAGGCCTCGTAAAAAAAAAAGCTTGTCCCTTCCTGAAAACACTGCAAACCCCTCACTGTCCGAGCACAAAAGACAGAGGAGCTGACTGCTTTTTGTGGGATGTTTTACAAGAATGTAACCTAAGCTTATTCTCTCATGGAATTCATTGTTCCATTGATCGCAGTCCCGTCTGCATTTCTCATTAAGAGCCACATCCTCTTCCTGCGTGACATGGAAGCATCAAAGAAAGTTCAAATCATCCACGTATATACTCACGTACATACACCATGAAGCCCTTACATCCATGACGGGACTCTCTATGTTATTATGCAAAGCTCTAAAAACTTAACATACATTATTTCAGTATCACATTTTTAAGGGTTGACTGCAGAGCTCCGATGCTGCAAATCTAAGGTTTATTCCCATGATCACACACCTGCTAAAGCCACAGTCACAGGGGAGTTTATGTTCTCAAATAAAATCCCTAAACCTTATGTGTGTTTGTTAAGGATCCACTGTGAATCCTAAATCTTAAAACATTCAAGGGGATTATCCCACAGCTCTATGGGGATTTCTACACCTACACTCCAAAACTTTAACCTCAGATCCTTTTCTCTCAGCTCCTGGACATTCCTAGGGGTTCGTGGGAAGTATGGAAATATTGAACCCATCTGAGACTAGAGCAGCAAAAAAAAAAAGCCAAAGTCACTGCACAATAATCTGTTTGTTTTTTTTAAATAAGAATATATGTGGTGGTAACAAACACCATATGAGGTTTTCAGAAACAGACTCTTAAACTCCAGGATTATGTTGAGTCAGGCTGACGTGTCTTAGTCAACACCGCTGCTCTTAGGGCCTGACAGACAGCACTGATGGAGAAGACACAGCTAAAACATCCTCTCCTCTTTAAAAAGGAAGAAGATGTCTTCTGCAGAAAATAATAATGTTATGTAATAATGTGACTACTACTTCATCTGGCTTTGTAAAATGTTATTGTTGCCACTCTGTGGTTGTTCAGAGAGAATAACCAGGAATGTAGTCACGCTGTTTGATTATTCAGAGTTTGTAAGAGTTTACAACCTCACACACACATTTCAAACCTGTTCGTTTTCCTATCATATTCGTCCTTCAATCCATCCGTCATCATTTAAGACAGACAATAACACTGAAATTATACCGTCTACCTTGTGTGTATGTGTTGGCACGGATGGAGGTGTTCTTTTTTTGTTCTAAATACGAGGAACTCTCTGTCCTTTTGTTACAGTGTGCACCACTCATCCATTCACCGAGAACTCTCCACAAGAAAAAACAAAGTAATACAATAATGAATTCATTAGTTTCAAACCACAACAATCATTTAAAACAAACCAGGTCACTTGTTGATTAACGACAGAATCATCTGAACTGGAATTTTTAGCCTGAAAACCAGACAAACCGACAAGTTAGCGCCATGTTACTGTTTGTAAAAAATGCTTTGAATAACTGCAGCTGCAAAACACACCGTTCCTGCAGAGCGGCAAGAAGCAAAGTCTAGCACAAGGACATTCCTTTATCTTTTTAGGTTTTCACCACACAGCAGCTACAATATCAGTGACTACCAACTCAGAAAACCTTGAATTTCTCATAGTTGAGTCTCTCTCTCTCTCTCTGTGTGTGTGTGTGTGTGTGTGTGTCATAAAGACATAAAAAATAATTGAACAGAAACTTGCAGGGACATGAAGGGGAAAGTAAACACAGGTGAGTGTATCAGCAGTGTCTGAGGACTGCAGGAGACACTGACTGGCTCAGATGGATCAAATTCAAAAGGCTGAGGCGCCCCCTGTAGGCCGACCGATGAAAATGCAGCACTGAGGCTGAGAAGAACTACTTTCTCTCTAAACATCAAACTGTGGATTATTGGACAGTTTACCAACATCGATCAAAGTCAGAGTCTATGAATAACTTTAAGCTCAGCCATGTAAATGATGTTAACAGTATACATATAAAAACAGAGCAGAAAATACAAAGAGAAAATCCTTTCTTATGAACTCAACTGTCTAAAGATGCTGTAAATACTATAAGTTTCTTAAAAGGTATAATCTCGTTAGATTCCCACACATATAAAGATTTAGTGAGCTGAAACAAACACCCCTACCTGTCCCTCTGTGCTGTTGTAGTCTTTGTTCAATGATCCATTCTTTAAACGAGTCTGTGTCGCTTTCTGTCTGTGCAGCCTGAAAACTGATGTTTTTTTTCCTGCGGAAAAATAGTCTCCTCCGTATAACTGCATGCAAGGAGGGAAAAAAGGAAAGGCACAGGAAATGGTGACGCAGCTATATGGAAATCACTTTACTTGATTACCAAAAAAAGAAGAAGATTCTGAGGGTTATTATGACATGTGCGTCCAATTTATTGTTGTCCAAGTTTAGTTCAACAGATTTTAATGAAGAATTGAACTCATTTCTCAGGTTTTTCAGCAAATTAAAGTAACTGAAGTCTATGTGATTTTGCTTTACTGTTATTTTGGGGTTATCTGAGGTACTTTTACTGACATTAAACTGTAAAAATGCCTGTAAAGGTTTTACAGAATACTAGTCCAGAGCTCTACACTACAGAATTATAATTACAGAATATTTTTCCAACAGAAAGGTCAGAAATCATTTTAAAAAAGGAGAGATTTACTCACTAGAAGTCATTTTAAATACTTATTTTAATACCTTAAATGTTTGTGTGTATCCAAGGTTGGCTCGGATACAGGACAAAGAACAAACCTTTAACAGACTCATAAGTTTGTCAGTGGCGATTATCTTGTGGTTCATTTGATTAATCACATATGTATTTAGTAATGTGCACAAGTGTGGTTTTCAAAAAGTGAGGGCCCTAAAATGGCTCCTGCATTTCTACCAGATCTTTAAGCCCTGTCTTATCAGGGGCCCTCTAGGTCAAAATCCATTTTTAATACCTTAAATGTTTAATAGTGTTAATCCTAAAACATGTCTGTGTTTAAATTATCACAATTACAAAGCAAACCTCAGGCAGGGTAGTATTCCAGTGTGTAAATACTGGTAGATTTCTACAACTCTGGGTAAAATGAGTTGGGGGAACTGCTCAGACTCTCCATAGATATGATCTTATTATTATATAACAGCTGTACAAACTGGTAAGCACTTTGCTCTCACCAATGAAAGAAAGGCCTGTAGCTGATGTGAAGCATAGATACATTTTACCACACAACAAATGCAAGAATCACAAATATTACATAAATTTATTCAAAGTTAAAGGTACCACATTTACAATAGTTAAGAACACTTTCATAGGTCTCCCAACAGTGGTTCTTCATCCACTCTGCCCATGTGCACAGCCCCAAAATACACAAAAATAAACTCCTCTAAACTCAGAATAACAGCAACTCCGTCATACTCACGCTGCCTGTTTGACAAGGACCTTCATAATAGAACTGACGTTAGACCGAGCACACAGAAGTGCCAAAATAAAACAACAGACGTTTGATCAGGCAGCTGAAGAGGGCACTGTTTTCAGTAGGGTCTTCAACAGATGAGGATCAATAGCACAGCTACGTTTACAATGACATCACCAAGAAATTGCATCGATTTCAGCAACGAGGTTCAGTGAAACTACTTCCAAATATCAAGTTTAATGTAATGCATTAAATGATGGATTTCACACCAGTTATCAGACGTTAAACATTGTGGTAGGAATGAAGGATTGAAAACACATTTATAAAAGATTTATTATAAAACATGCATTTTCAAAGAAGGCTGAAAGATTTATATTTTACACTATTTCTTTTATCATGTGGTGAGAGCAGTAGTTCAAAGTTATATTAGTTTTTCAGGGAGGTGGAAAATACCCACAAGCTACATGTTAGCAGATCATTACTGGTCCAGTTATCCAGCCACGAGGAGTGGCACCAACCAACATCTGGATGTCTTACTCTCACAGCCAGTTTGGTTTGTTAAATTAGGAGACTTGGTCGGCTTTGGACTGATGGGACTGCACCTGACACTGTGGCCAGAAAGAGTTAGAGGGTGTTATAAAATATTCACTTGAAAGGTTTATTTTTATCTCGCATTTATTAGTCTCTACCAAATTTTTCATTGCAAATTCTCTGGCGACTTGGCACTTCTGCAAACCAGACAGCAGGCAGGGAGGAAATTCGGCTTTTGGAAAACACTATTTAAGACTGTTCTTTCAAGAATGTGCAAAAATGAATTCACTGTAATCTCTTGTGCTGCCTGCAGACTAAATAAGAGCTCCCAGCTTTGATTATACATCTGGCAGGGACTCTACAGATCCAGATTTCTTCACCATGTTCACCTCGGAAGTGTCACAATTGATGAGATACAAACCACAAATGAGAAAAAGGAAGCGATATAAACTGAGGGCTCCATCACAGTGTTTTTTTTTTTTTGTTTTTGCTCCACCAGTAACTCTTGCTCGCTGGGCAGTTTAACTGAGAACAACATGGCGGTCGAACACAGACTTCCTCTGTTCCTGGACCTGCCTCCTCCAGCGCTGCTGGGCATGCTCCACTTTGTTCAGCATGTTGGGTCGAGAGTGTGAACGGGACAGAACATTGTGAGCATTGGCAAAAGGCTGCTGGTCCTGAAAACACAGAATGGAAAAATATAAAATCATGACTAGCCTAAAGGGTAGGATATAGTTCAATCACAGGTCTATCTTGTAAGAGTCCTTAGAAAAATCTAATAAGAAAAGGCATTAAACTCTAACTTTAGCATTCCTACAGTGGTTATCTGTATGTTTAACAGTGGAAGCACATAATGCAGAGGTGGGCCACCTCGCCTTAAACAAAGAACACATCCACCAACATTAATAAAAATAATAAACTTTAATGAAATACAACAGCAACCTTTAGGGAAAGAAACACACAGCAAAAAGCCATTACTCGTTTAGGCATTTTATCTACTAAGTAAACCAATCAGAATACGAGATGCCACGATATGGGTGGCTTACCACCACGGCTGAACTTTGTAGTATTGCTTTAGTATGTATTATTATATGTACTGCTCCTGTCTATTGTTCTTACCATCTACCTCATTAAATTCCTTTTTAAAAGAAATTCAAGTTACATTTTTATTTGCTAAAGCTTTGTTTTATTAAGTATCAGTGTATTTTATTCCCATCACTATATATTTTCTTTATTTTATGTGTTTTTGTAAAGTTTTTTGTAACTTGTTTTTAAAACGTTTCTGTTGCTCTCAGGAAAATAAAAACCATAATAAAAGTAAACGTGAGAGCCAACTGGGAGGATCACAGCTGCCATCTGTGACAAATGTGTTCAGGGAAATAAACGAACATTATCAGCTGGGCAGCCTCTCTGTATCAAAGACTGACTAAACATTACAAGCACACCATTTCCTCAATAATTAATGTTGCGGCTGCACTTCCGGTTACATTGGTTTTGCTTACAAATCTCTCTCCCTCAAATCTTTGTTTTGGTCTCACTGACAAATTACAAGGTACTGTGCCACAGAGAACTTTGGGTCATTTGGATAATTGTTGTATTACTGTAATTACTGCAAACCAGTAACATATTTACCCGAACATTAGCATTTCTTAGAATAACATAATTTCTGACAGTAACCTGGTTGCTAATTAAGTCGTCATCTTCCTTTCCTGTTAAATAAAAGTTAAAACGTTTTGGTGTTTATAAGTCACATTTTTAAGAGCTTTTTTTTTTTTTTTTTAAAAAGGAGTAGCTTCTCATGTAACACTTCCTCTTGCCTGAACTCTGCCAGTGAAAACACTGAGTGCTCAGCAAGGCAGCTGCAGTTCCCTCGCTTCCCTCAGGCAAAGGCAGTAACTGTTTTCATTTGTTAATATCTAAACGCTGTGTCACAACAAATTGACTTACTGCTTTTCATGCACTTTGGACATTTAAATTGTACTTGTTTCCTGAAATAGTAATAATAACTTTATTAGCCATTAGATTACTGTTATAAATTAAAAGTTAAGAAATTGGAATCAGTTTCAAGATGGTTCTTTTCTACTTACTTATATACATTAGCGGGGGTACTCGCTTAACCCGTTTAGTAATTGTATGCTGCCACTGCAAGACATTTGACTGGGGCAGTCTTCACTGCCTGACCAACCTTCTGTCCTCTGTCTTTGTTATGCACAGGTTCACATAAATAACCAAACTTTAACCAGCAGAAAGCTAGCTACATTAACCCAACCTATTTTAATCTCTCATTTCAATGATGTTTAAGAAGCCAGTTAGGTCCAGAAGCAGGTAGAGATAGTGTAACATGAAAAGAAATTGGTTGAAGCTGCTTGCATCATGTACTGCTGCAGCCCTTTCCTGTGATTGTGGTTACTAATGGATCTGACACAGAGTGAGAAAGCACTTTTAAAAACTATGCATCACTCCCTGTGTTAGGAATAGGTTTTACCAGACAGCACTGCTTGAAGGATAAATCAAGTTTGACATTTCCACATTTATTTCACAGAATGTCAGCTGATTCAGACAATCTGTGTTGTATTTGATATGTAATTTAGACATTTGAGGCATTTGTAACTAATTCCAAACCCCCACCCCTCCAATGGCCTTGAAGGATGAATCCCACATGATATTTTGTGTAATAGGGCGTTATTGATAAACAGATTGAATTAACAGAACAAGAGTAACTTGTTTGCTGGGTAGAAGGGTGGGGCAGTACCATAATTACCATAATATAAAACATTATTGTTTCATCTTCTGTTATAGCTGCTTCACCAATATAACTGCATGCAAGGAGGGCAAAAAGGAAAAGCATGGGAAATGGTGACGCAGCTATGGAAATCACTAAGGGTACTTAGGGTTATTAAATCTGTGTGCAAATGAATGTAGTCAAAGTTTAGTTCAACAGATTTTAGGTAAGAGTTTAACTGGTAATTTGGGGTGTTTCCAGACGTTTTTCAGTTAATAAAAGAAGAATTTCTATGTTAGTGTGCTATAGTAGCATGTCATGACTTGCTGGGGGTTATCTGAGGTACTTTTATTGAAACTTAACTGTAAACATGCCTGTAAAGTTTTTATAGGACATTGTATTGAATAAGCAAGTCCAAAGCTCAGTTCCTACATAATATCTTTCCAACACAGAGATCTTAAATCATCAAAAGGGTCAAAAAGGGAGAGATTTACTCACTAGAAGTCATTTTACCTTTAAAACAATGTAAGCATCCAAGGTTGTCTTAACAACAGGACAAAGTGAGTAACAATCCTGTATCATATTGTGGTAATTTGGTAACCATAACATAAAACATTATTGTACTTTCTTACTGTGAGTTTCAACGCTGTAATATTAGGAGGAACACATACCCCGACATCATCGTCACTTTGGATGAGCTGCGAGTGTCCGAACAGACGCCTCTTCAATATGGGTTCCAGGAGAGTCAGGTAGACCATGTAGAGCAGCAGCAGGCCCAAAATGGAGAGGTACATTATGATGGTGACCTAAATGTACAGAATGATTAGTCGACTTATCGATTAGTTGACTGACAATTTATCTACAACAATTATAATAATCTATTAATAATTTAAGGTATGCTGTATATCAGCTAGAAAAGCCAAACATTCACATACAATTACAGAGACTGTACTATTTTCTGGCATTTTATAGACCAAAGGATTAGTAAAAAATACAAAAAAACCAATCAATCAATTTACCTTAATGGTCCCTGAGCTCCTCTCTTCATATTTACACTCACAGCGTAAACAGTACGCCTCCACATCTTTTCCATCAACCGGCATGGGTTCAACGACATGGAGACAGTTACTGAAAAAAAACAAAAAAACAACAGAAAATACCATTAAGAGTAGAAGTAGTAATAGTAAGCAGGAATTTGACGGTTGAAATCATTCACGGAGGTGCAGTGACACATCACTTCACATACCAGTCTTTGAGAGAGACGTTTTGTTTGTAGATTTGTCCCTCGATGTCTCTGTACGGTGGACAGATGCATTTACACCGGATGTCTTCAGAATTCTGTAACAGATAGATCACATCTTCTTCATCAAATGCTTCTTCTTCTTCTTCACACATACTAACACAACACAAGTGTATTTCCTTATTTTCTTGCTCGCCTTCTCTCCCTTTGCTATTCTGTATTGATTTTATGTGCTTACTGTTGTGTATTTCTTACTGTTGTAGTCTTACTGTGTTATTATTGTTATTACCTCTAGTAGTAGTATATACCAAATCAACCATAGTGTACCATTTGCTTGTTCTTCTTGTAATGGTGTATACATCTTGATGTACAGTCACAGTGTGTGACTGTCGGCTTCTGTGTGTTATCATAACACATTAGTCATAACAATGGTTAGTAGCAGGTTTTCATTATAATGCTGTTTTGTCACACATTTATGCGATTTATTTATTTTATAATACTGCACTTGGCTAAGTTACGTATTTTGAATAATTGTGCAGCCCTAATCGACGAGGTACACAGAGCTAAACCTAAAGCTAACGCAGGCTTATACAACAGCCATGCAATAAATCCAACCTTCATGAGGGTTATAGTGTTCAGTTTTAACTCAGGTAAAACTGTAGCTAGGTGAACCAAATAAACGAGCACCGAGGATATATTATATTAACGCTATATTCTCATAATAATAATAATAATAATCCACGGCGTTAGCAACACCTGCGACGTCCAAATCTCACGATACCAAGAGTTCCGTTGGCTTTTAGTTGTTTTTAACCGTCCAGAGACGAGAGATAATTAAGTGTTTTAGATAGATTTATATAGAGAAGATAATTAAGATAACTAAACCGTCGTCACCATTTTATCTCCAACGCTAGGTAGCCTTGCTAACGTTAGCCTTACCTTCGCTGTCACTTGGCTTAAGAGCACACAACAAGCCACAGAGAGAGCCTCGAGGAGAAACACACGCTTCATCTTCACGGTCGGTCGCCTGGTTCCCAACCGTTCCCAACCGCTCCCAACCGTTCAACGGCCGCTCAACTGTTCACAGAAACCACAGCAACAGTGTAAAAAAACAGAAAGCCCTAATATCTGACGACGTCTGCCATCAAGCTACTTCAGGGATAAACACCCTCTGATCAGCTTCCCAGCAGCTGACTTGTAGTTTCCGGAGATGGCGGTCGGTTTCCGTGGGAGCGCTCGATTTGACTATGATGAGTTCCCGGTTGGCGGTGATATGTCAAATACCGACGGGACTTTTTTTTAATATCGTCATTCGGTTCGTTCGGTGTCTCAAATCCATTACTCAACAATTACAACTTATATTACATCATATTATATTATATTATATTATATTATATTATATTATATTATATTATATTATATTATGTTATGTTATGTTATATTATATTATATTATGTTATATTATATTATATTATATTATATTATGTTATATTATGTTATATTATATCATATTATATTATATTATGTTATGTTATATTATATTATGTTATGTTATATTATATTATGTCATATTATATTATATTATATTATATCATATTATATTATATTATGTCGTATTATATTATATTATATTATATTGTGTCATATTACATTACATTATATTATATTATATTATGTTATATTATGTGATATTATATTATGTTATATTATATTACGTTATATTATTTTGTATTATATTATGTTATGTTATATAATATTATATTATATTATGTTATGTTATGTTATATTATATCATGTTATATTATGTTATGTTATATTATATTATATTACATTATATTATAATCAGGCTTCAGAGTTACCTAATCACAATACAAAAAAGGTACTGTAATCAATTACAGTTACAGAAAAAAGACATAATCAGATTAAAATTACGTTTAGTAAAAACTGGGATTATATAGCAGGATTACATCACTTCCCCTGAGCAGAGGACACATTTTAAATGCTATAAATCTTTCCTTTTTCAGACAATAATTCAAGTCATTGTATCTTTTTATGCCTAAATAAAAGAGTGTGGCGTTGTATGTCTGAAAACAACAAAATAAGTTTCCTATCTTTATTTACAGCATATTAGATGTACAAAACCATAAAAAATATACATACATGTGTCATCTAAGACAGGTGAATATCTCAATTCTATTTTACAGGACTTTTCATTTATTTTCATGTACTCTGACCTCATGTCGTTCACTCTCTAAAATCACATCACTCCCAATTCTCTGAGCATCTCCAGAGCGAACAGTTGTCTTTGGTTGGCAGTTCACAATACACAATGTACTGACACACACCATGTCATTTTGCTGAAGCAGTTGATGTCTCATGAATGCATAGAAGTCACTGTAACTTTTTTTTGGAAATTAAAAAGGTTTCTCAGAACAGTAGCACTCATTCACACCCATAACCTGGAACATCAAATTGTTGGGCCACCAGCAATCGCAGCAATGCTATACTGTCAAAAATGTACGTAGTTGCTACAATACATTAGCGTTTAACCTAAAACTTTATACATCATATACAAAACATTCATCAGAATAATTGCTTTTGTGGTGCCACTACTTCTTTAGTAGTGCTAATGTTCCCGAGAAAACATTTGTGCTATATTTGTTTCTGACATTTAGCTGTATTTCTGTCAATTAACCTCTACCTTTGAAAGTAGCCTATGTTAAAACTAGATACACACTCTATATACAGTATCAGTGACATTCAGTATATAGCCGTTGAGCTACCGTATTTGTCTTTCATCATGATGCTATCAGCAAATGTCTCAAAATGTTGGCATGTACACTATTTAGCAATATTCAAATACACTTTGCACTTTGGATTTGACTCCTGAGATGGCGACTTTAAAATCTGAATGCGGGTATAAAGTCATTACAACAAAGTGAAGAGATCCAGATCCTCATTCGAAGATGCCCATGTGGGTCTACACCCTGTTTTCTCCCTCTTAAAGCTCCAGTTAAAAGTCCACTTGCTTGACTTGTCCACTTTCTCTTCAGGATCAGTTATATCAAGTGTGTAACTCTATCACTGAAAACAGATAACTACAGAATATTCTTAAAGGGGTCAGTGGATAAAACAGATACTATGGCCAGTATCTAATGGAGGCTATTAATGAACTTATCCAGACAGCGGACCATCCTAAGGGCGAAGGAATCTGAGGACTTTTGAACGCAGGAAGCGGATGAAGGATTTGGGGAACATTTCTCTTGATTCTTGTGCTGTGTAGTTGAAGAAGTTCTGTGGGTGAGCCAGCACGTCAAACAACGCCTTCATGAGTTTCTTGTCCTGATGAGAAAACACATTTATGGTAAGAGGAAGCGTAAGGTAATTAGTTAATGTGAGCAGCAGCTTGCTTTTTTCACAAGTCTCCAAAAGAGGGTGCTACATGCTAGATGCTAACTGGACCTGGAAGTACAGAATAAACAGAAACACAGATCAATAAGTGGAGGATAGTACTGATCTGAATAATCAAATGTTGGGGTGCCCTGGTGGAAACCATATAATTGTAATGTCAGTGCTTCAGTTTAGGCACCTTTTCTGCTTGTCATTAATAAACTAACAAAGGTGTAAAATGTCAATTCTGTTCTTTTACTTGTTTGTTTTTTTTTCCTTCTTTTTGTGTAACATATATATATACATATATATATACATGAAACATTGTAATACACAACAACAGCTAAATTTCTAGCTCACCCTGGTCCCAAAGTTGGTCACAGAGTGCTCTTTGTTAAACATTTATACCTACACACCTTGAGGATTTCCTGGTGGTTCTCTGAAGCGTATAATCTTCCATCTCTGACGATGTCTTCTATAAGTTCTTGGTAGTCCTCTGTAAAGAAATAGTTAATAAACAACCAACCAAATCAGGACACACTGAGGTAGCAGCATCATAGTTATAGCACAAACACATTACACGTCTTCTTACCATCATAAGTCACATATGGGACCTGGAAGCCTTTTCCACTGTTTCCCTCGTTGGACCTGAACTGTATCCAAAGCCTCTTGGAGCGGGAGGTGAAAGCGATGGGACGTTCATATGTCTGACAAGTCTCGTATGTTGTCACAGAGTTGGAGAGAGCTGTGAAAGGAGCATATGAGCACACAGGGCGGCATCTATAATGATCTTACTACATTAATCTTAGTAGTCTGCTATGATCTCAATAAGAGAAATTAAATAATAAAACATCTCAATTACATTTTTATATCATTTTGGCCACTCTTGTCTTAAAAAGTTCAATCATAACCCTAAAATAATAGTTAACATCTTTCTGGTATAGTTTTTGGTAATTAAAACACTCACACAAACACATACAGTTCAAACTTACAGCTTTTTCTCATTACTAAGTAGTCTCCGCACTCGTCCTCGATAGGCAGAAAGATTTCTGGGACAACAATAAGGATCCTGCGTTTGGGTGGTGGATTGATGGTCCAGGTGCACTCGACATTGGCAGGGTAGTTCCCCGGGTAGTTGGGGGACTCGATGTAACCAGTAAAATCTCCCAGCTCTCCTCCACACTGTCGGTCTGTAAAGTGACACAGATGAATCAAATAGGGGTTTTTGTTTTTGGTTCTGGGTGCAGCAAGGTCACGTATTTGTAACTGAATCCAATTTTGTATGTGCACACTTCAGAGGTATTACTGTGTACAGACTGACATACTTTTGCACTGCATGATGTTAGTGGAGCCATCAAAGTCAGTGGTGGTGTTTCCAGGGCAGGCGACACAGTAGTTCTGTCCAAACTCTCCTTGATACGTGCCCATGGGACAGCGGATGCAGCGGTGTGTGCTGGTGTTGTAGTAATGTCCTGGAGAGCACTGGACTGCAGTGGCCAAGCACAGGGGTAGGGCGGCTGTTAGTTGATATAATGCCCCAAATATTCACAGATGGGTTAAATATTTGCATCTCTTATATGGGTGGGTGTTTCTTTTTATATTTTTGGGGGCGTTTTCCTTTATTGGATAGGACAGCTCAAGATTGACAGAAAAGGGAGAGAGGCCGCTGTAGCAAGGACTCAGCCATAAATGGGACAGTGATATGGGTGTTTTAATATTTTTTTCTATTTAAATCACTTAAAAGAGTACATGCAAAATACAGAAAATACATTTTCTATACCCAATTAATGGGTATAGAAAATCTTCTGCCACGTTGTGCTCAGAAAACCTTTTCAAAACCAATTAGATTATACCTAAAAATACACCTGTCATCTGGTAGTTCCCCTGGTAGAGCTGGTGCCCCAGTGTCTGACTTGTGGTCCTTTGCTGCATGTTATCCCCCCCCCCTCTCTCTCACCCCTTTCCTGTCACTCTTCAGCTGTATCAATTAAAGGCAATAAAAGCCACAAAAACAATTTAAAATAAAAGAAACCCCACTGTCATCAGGCTAAAACCCAAGTATTTTTCCCTAGTTCCTGAAAGGTGGACATCTGGGGGAGTATATAGCTTTCAACTGACTCAAGCACCTAAATGTACAGACAATAAAACAGCTGCAGAGGGCGGCAAAGTCCCATACACCCAAAAGAACTCCATGGACTCAGCAACCATATGATACTGTTGTGATGTCAAGTGAAAAGGAGTCAAAAAACTCTGTTTTTGTTTTTTAAAGCAAACACCCACAGATGTTTCATTTTATCTAATCTAAGTTTGACTGGTTCTCATAAACCTTCTAAGCTCCCAAAGAACCTTCTAATCTCTCAAAACACAAGAAACAAGACTAAACCCAACTGGAGTTATTTGTTTTTTACAGTAACAGAGCAGACTTTCACACCTTTGGTCTCACAGTCCTGGAAGGTAACGGCACCACTGCGCTTGGTGACCAGGTTCCCTCCACAAGAGAAGCAGGTGGTGCGTCCCACTTCTGGCTGGTACGTTCCCAGTGGACAGGGCAGGCAGGGGATGAAGCCGTCATGAGAGTACTGACCGGGGGAACACTGACCTGAACACACACACACACACACACACACACACACACACACACACACACACACACACACACACACACACACACACACACACACACACACACACACACACACACACACACACACACACACACACACACACACACAAGGCTTTGGTCAAAACAGAGTGAGGGTTTTTTCTCTCTTATAAAACCTTTAAAGCCGAACCACTTGGAAGAGTTTGATTTCAAGAGT